CAGTAGTGCGTGGGAGCTGGAGTCGCTGGCGTGCCCGCCGGTGCCAATACTCTGCCAGAAATTGACCATCTGGCTTCACTCTCACTCTCCAAGGACACAGATTTCTCACAGTCCTTAAAGAACTTTCAGTATGAAGCGCAGATAAAGCTCTGCCCTTTGTCAGAACCGAAGCCCCTGTGACCCGGGAGAGCATTAATGAGGCACTGAGTGGCCAATTGCATACTGACCTTTGAACCCAGCGACTCTGTTTACCACGAGGCTTGTTTACCTCTCTCCCGGTGGGGGCCTGGGGTCAGGGACCAGACAGCTGGTGAGGGCCGTTGGAATTAGCTCCTGTGTTTGTAATGAATAATTTGTGTGTTTGGCGGGGGGGGGGGGTTGTGGTTGTGTGTGTCTGTATGGGTGGTGGTGGAGGGAGGGGAAGGGGTGGGGAGTGTTTCTGTGTTGAGTCGGAGGTGTGTGGGGGAATGGAGAAGAGTGTGTCAGGGTGGGGAGGTGGTAGAGGGGTATGTGTGTGGAGAGGTGTGTGTGCGTGTTTGTGGTGGGGAGGGGGTACTGTGGAGTTGTCGATCGCTTTTCCGGGGGTAATATTCCCTTAAAAAAAATTGGGTCACTCAATCCAAAGTTGCCTAGTTCTTCCAAGGAAACTACACTTGTCAAGTCTCAAATTATTCATGTATTGTATCCCAAAATATTATTTTCCAAAAGAAATCTATCTAATTTGCATTTCAATGAATTCACATGTGTGCAATCTGTCGCTGGGAGTTTCCTCTTAACTTCTCCAATCTCCAGTCCCTCTCCTCCTCAAAGCCTCAGCTATTTGTCAGCCTAGCTCAGTGGTAGTGTACACTCAACGCTGAGTCAGAAGTTGTGGGATCAAGCCCCACGGCGGGACTTGGAACTCATTAGTCTAAACTGATGTTCCAATGCAGTGCTGGGAGTGTGTTGTATTGTCAGAGGTGCCTTCCTTCAGATGAGACGTTAAACTAAGGTTCTGTCTGCCTGTTCAGGTGGACATTAAAGATCCCAAGGCACTATTCAAAAAGAGAAGGGAGTTTCTCTCTCCTGGTGTCCTGGTCAACAATCTCCCCCCCAAAATTGGTCACTCACTCCATTTCTGTTTGTGCATCACTGGCTGCCACATTTTTCCCACAAACACACAGTCACTACACTCCGCAGTGAAATGCTTTGAGATGTCTCAACAACGTGATAATGTGCGATATCAAATGCAAGGATAATTATTATTAAACCCAGGTCCAATCTATCTGTTCAGGTGGACGTTAAAGATTCTGCGGACTATTGGAAAAGAGAAGGGAGTTTCTCCTTCCCAATGTCCTGGCCGACAATTCCCCGAAATAACATTTGTGATTCGCTTCACGGCTGCTTGTGGAACATTGCTGCGTGCAAATTAGCTGCTGCGATTGACTTCAGAATCCAATCTCTTTACAGTGAATCCTGTGAAGCACTTTGAGATGTCCTGATGTGAAAGGCGCTGTATCAAATGTAAAGATGAGTCTTAGTTATTTCAATGACCTACCAGTTTCCTGTCACTGATCTTGGCTCTGAGCCTTGTGAAGGATGTCACAGGGAGGCAGCCCTCACCAGACAAGAACACAGATTGACACTATTTAATTCCTAAGATATGAAAGTTTTGCCAAGTGGCTTTTTTGCTTGTATCAGGATTATTTTTTTTATATAAACTTGGACTAAAAATAACTGATTTGCTAATCTGTCTCCCAAAGGCCATTTAATTATTCATTCCCTGATTTAATCAGAACCAGGCACAACACAATGAATTGCTGTACCCGTGATCAAGAGACGATGGCTCATTGAGGGTCCAGTGATCTGCTCTGTCACCTCACGTTCCTTCCTCTTCAAGAGACAGTGGTAAGCCTCCTACTCCCCACTCCCCCGAGAGGTTTTCAGGATATTGTAACCTTTAAAACTTTGCCCTGCAAAATTTGAGAATCCCACAACATGAGGGAGGGAGGGAGGGAGGGAGGGAGGGAGGGAGGGAAGGAGGAGAGGGAGGGAAGGGTGGCAAAGGTGGTAGAGCAATTAAAATTAAACAAATTCATTGATTTATTATTTATTTATTAATACTGAGCATTTAATGGGAGGTTCATTGATGGAGAAGACTCTTAGAATGCTATAGCAGTGAGTGGCCATTCAGCCCATCGTATCTGTGCTGTTTGGGGTAAGAGCTCTCTGTTCAGTCCTTCTCAACGGCCCTTTCCCCGCGCCCCCCAAACCTTCTCCTGTATTCATTCAGTTATTTGTTCATTTCAAATACAAGGAAGATTATTATAATTCCCTCTTAAACGCTTTAGATTCTGCTTGAAGCAGTGTTGTTGGTTGGGTGTTCTGTGTCTTTAAAAGCCCTCAATCAGCATCTCTCTGTCCGGGACAGTGAGAACATTGGCACCAAAACCTCAGATTAAATTGGTTTTGTAACCAACACAGTCACTGGAAATTACCCTGAGGCAGAGGCAAGAAGCCACCCATGCTTTAAACAACACTGGGTAGAAATTCCATCAAGGCCTAGAATTATTCTTGTCAAGGTACCATTTCAGTGTCTAGGATTTAGCAGATTCTTAAATACAATCTTAACATTAAAGCCCAATTTCTGTTAATCCCTTATGAAAAACACTTCGAATTTCAGACTAAATTAAACACTTTGCCAAAACCGTATAACATTGATCATGATCAATCCAAACCCAGGTAGAATCTCCACAAATCACTGTATAAATGTCCCTCTATTTTTGCTGCATTTCCAAGAATGAAAATATCTGCTGGGAAAAAAAACCTCACTCATTTATATGAACAACATTAATGGAATTGGTTATAAACTGTCACAATTTTGACCCATAGAATGTTCTGGCAAAGAAAAAAGCTGTTCAGTCCATTCAGTCTACACTGTTGTTCTCTATATAATCTATACAATTCCCCCTGCCTCGCGCTCTCTCCCTCCCCCGCACAATATTGTACACACCTATTAATATTCCTCTGCAGGCTGCTATCCAAATTCCTTTTATATAATACAACAACAACAAAATGACATTTATAAACTGCCTTTCACATCCCAAAGCGCTGAACAGTCAGGGCCCGAGCATGGGGGAGGGGTGGTGTAGGGGTGAGGGAAGGGAGAGAGAGGTGGGAGGGAGACCACAGGCACGATCGAAGAGAAGGTTCTTGTGATCGGCCTTGAAGGAGGCAAAGGAGGAAGCGAGGTGAAGGGACCGTGGGATGGAGTTCCAGAGTGTGGGGGCAGAGAGGCTGAAAGCCCGGTCACCGATGGTAGGGCGGGTCGGGCGGGAGACCCAGATCAGGCTGGACCCCGATGAACAGAGGGAGCGGGCAGGTTGGTAGGGAGTCAGCAGGTCAGAGAGGTAGGAGGGGGCAAGGCCATGGATGGCCTTAAAGGTGAGAACAAGGATCTTGAACTCGATCCTCTGGAGGATGGGGAGCCAATGGAGTTGGGCGAGGGTGGGGATGATGGGGTTACGGAGCCTGGTGCATGAGAGTACACGAGCTGCAGAGTTTTGGATGATCTGCAGCGTGTGAAAGGAAGAGTTGGGAAGGCCGATGAGGAGGGAGTTCCCGTAATCGAGCCTTGAGGTGACGAATGCGTGGGTGAGGGTTTGGGCAGCCTGAGGGGTGAGGCAGTGGCAGAGTCTGGCATTGTTGCAGAGGTGGTGGTAGGCAGTGCCGGTCATGGTGCGGATGTGGGGGAGAAAGGACAGTTCAGGGTCAAACAAGACACCCAGGTTCCTGACCGGCTTAGTGAGGTTGAGTGTGCAGCCGTGGAGGCTGATGCTGCCAGTGCCCAGGGTGCGGAGGCGCTGGCGTGAGCCAATCAGGTGGGCCTCGGTTTTGCTGATGTTGAGTTGGAGAAAGTTGGCCCTCGTCCAGGACTTGATGTGGGACAGGACACCAGTAGTCCTGGAGATCAGGGTGGAAGCAGAGAGATAGAGTTGGGTGTCATCCGCATACATGTGGAAATTTACACCATGTCTGCGGATGACGTCACCAAGGAGGAACGTGTAGAGGGTGAAGAGGAAGGGACCGAGGATACAGCCCTGAGGAACACCGCACGAGACAGTGCGGGGTTGGAGGAGAATCCGTTTGCAGAGACCAAGTGGAGGCTGTGTGAAAGATAGGACCTGAACCAGTCAAGAACAGAACCTTGAAGGTTAAGGTGGGAGGAGAGGCTGTGGAGGGGGATTGAGTGGTCCACGGTGTCAAAGGCGGCGGAGAGGTCGAGGAGGACGAGGAGGCAGAGGGAGCCCTGGTCACACATGGTCAGGATGTCGTTTGTAACCTTGACCGGAGCAGTTTCCGTGCTGTGGGCAACACGGAAACCCGATTGGAGGGGTTCATGGAGGGAGTGAGAGGAGAGGAAAGAGCGAAGCTGGGAGGCAACGACTCTCTCAAGGACCTTGGATAGGAAGGGGAGATTTGAGATGGGCTGGTAGCTAGATAGCTCTGATGGGTCGAGGGAAGGTTTCTTCAAGGTGGGGGTGATAGTGGCTGTTTTGAGGGGGGAAGGAACAGTGCCAGATGACAGGGAGAGGTTAATGATGTCGGCGATTAGTGGGGCAAGGAGTTGGAGCTGGGATTTAAGAGAAGGGTGGGGATGGGGTCGAGGGAGCAGGTGATGGATTTCATGGCGGTTACTGTGTTGAAGACAGAGGAGGGGGTGACAGGTTCAAAGGTGTGGAAGGAGGGATGGGTAATTGTGCGGAGTGGGGGTAGGGAGGGGGTGGAAGTTGGGAGGGCAGTGGCAGCTGAGCGGTTTCCATTGATTTTGGACTCGAGGAAGTCCAGCATTTCCTCGCAGTGAGAGTCAGAGGAAAATAATTGATGAACTGCCTGCAAGATGGTTTGTGACCAAGAATTCCACTTCAAATCTATTATGTAACAATGCAAATTCTCCTCCCCACCGTCCTCCTCACCCCCCCAACCGCCCCCTCCCAAAGAAATTCCAGACTCGGAACAACTTTGAGGATTGAAACTTTATTCAAAGTTACAATTAGTAACGAGGACCTCTTGGCATTCCTGAAATATAAATTATATTCTGCATTAGAAACGGCAAATGCAGCTTTTCAATAACTGACGACCTCTCTGGCCAGCAAGGGACTGGTCAAGGGGAATGTGCAACATTCAGTTCACCAAATTCCATGGCTCCATCATTGTCCAGCGAAACCAATACAAAAAAGAGCAAGACATAAGCCCACTGAGTGAACCTTTACACAGGTAGATAGAAAGCTCTTCCGTTTCCTCTCTGAACAGGCAAGCAAAACCAAACTCATCCCATATACAGTACAAATCCTATATAAAAAGTTACTGGAGTAATTAATATGAAGATAGAAAGTATTTTTGTACATTATTTTCAGTTCAAGTCAAACTATTTCTTCCGATGTTAAGAGATGACTCCAGCTATTATTTGGTGGATAATTGGGACCTCGTCCCAAACGTCTTGAACCGAATTTTAAGCATTTTCCAAAACACCATCTTCAATAAGAATTCAACGGGTTTAGGGCCAAAACCAGAATTTCAGGGCTCGGGTTACAGAAAAACAGGCGAGGAGATACTGAATCTCTTTGTGACACTGAATCTGTTAGAATAAGCGATTGGCTTATTCCTTGGAGTTAGGGAGCGGAATCTGATCAGGAGAGCGTGTGACTAACGGGGAGAGTGGGGGGGGGGGGGGGGGGGGAGAGAGGAGAGTAGGGGGAGGCAAGGCTGAGAACAAGAAAGTGCAAATGTCTAAAACTGGGGGAGCGTTCTACACGATCCTGGATCTGCTTCCTGATGGCAAAGTCCGGCTCTGTTCGTGTTCCCGGTCAGCGGAACGATGCTCTTGGATCCACTGCTGAGCTGCGAGGCACTGCACACGCCAACAGCAAGCCAGAGGCCATTGCTCACTACCCCTGGGACACAGGACAGTGGGCAGAGGCTGAAGGAGAAACGTACAGACTATGTACACATTGGTTCAGGATCGGTGGGGAAATGCTCTTCAAGGTTTGTTGTGCATAGAAGAGACATCAACTTCTGCAAGTGAATAAACCTCAGCCCTGTCCTCCACACACAGGACCTTATTCAAAACCTTTGAATGGGGGCGCAGGCTGGTGGGAGTGTTAGCAGTGAGCATAAGGAGGTGTCAGAGGGGAGTGAGAAATGCAGGAAAATAACGAGCCACATTGTGATGAGAGCGCACACAACGCTCTCATCTGCATTAACCCTAGACTGTGAAGGCAATCAGAATGGATTAACAATGGGGGTAATAGCTTTTGCTCCTCCAGCCCCCCTACACACACACACATACACAACCTTGACAACATTAACAGCATCTGGTGCCAGCTGGGGGCATTTGGAGGCAGCATAATTGATTTTATAAATAGGCTTGATATAAAAATCACAGCTCGGTGCGGTGATGGCACTGGTGACGGATATGGTCCCGCCAAAAGTATATATCAGTGGTGTAGAAAGGGGCCTGGGAAAGTCATAAGGAGAGGCTTACAGGCCAAGACAGGGAACGCAACGAGATGTCGACCCGGGTTCAAAAAAAAATAATTTGATAACGGCAAGACGTCTCAAACAAATGTATGGTAATTAGCGTCCCATTTACAACGTGGTGTCCCTTGTCACCACATTAAAAAGAAAAAATGTCTGACTTCCAGATCATCATCACCAACATCAATCCCTGGTTGCTTACCCGGAAGACGAACGTTTTAGCCTCGATGCCTTTTGTACACGAAGAATGTTATAGAGACTGCTACAGTTCCCCCAACAAAGATTTGTTGACTGAGACATTTCCTTTGCAAGATACATTATCCAATGTTGAATGAAAAAATCCGCATTGAACGGGCCCCAAAGTTGCAACCACTTTAAGCAAAAATCCTGTGTGTTATATCGAGGCTGTGCTGGACTTGGTGGCTAGTGACTTTTTTTTAGGCAAATGAGACGGCCATTTTATGCACCGCACAAGGTTCCACATGTAGCCAGGAAATGAAAGATCAATTTATGAATCAATTTAAGATAGTTGTTTGCCAGGGCACCGGGAGACATTCCTTCCTTTTCAATAGAATCATTAATGTCCAACTAACAGCCATGGAAGGGAACTCGGTTTAACGTCTCATCCAAAGAACGGCCCCTTTAACAATACAGCTGCCCCCTCCCCCCAGCACTACACTGAGCAGCAGTGTCAACTGAGCTCAAGCCCCAAATTGGGGGCTTGAACCCAAAACCTTCTGATCCAAATTATTGACTGCATCTACAAGAACTTTCACTTATTGAGCTATTAAAAGGCTTAAGCCCACACGTTTTCCTGATGATTTGTGTAGGCCAAAAAATTTGTGTCAAAAAAAAATTAAAGAAAGCTTTGATACATTTTCCATGGGATTTGACAGAACTGGCAAAAATTGCAGGGCAGGTTTCGAGGAGCTCTGTTTTCACCAGTGATGCGGCTTAATACAACTGCACTTTAATACCCAACCTGTTACCCCTCCCGCTCTAAGCTTTTTTTGTGTGAACAAAATATTGAGCAATTTAGTTTTTCTACCGTTCGGTCTTATTTCACTGAAGAGACGATTAGCGACAATGACTATAAATTACTGTACAAAACGGGCCAGCAGCTTCTGACAGATCAGCCAGCAAACACATTGCCCAGAGCGCTGTGAGTGACAGAGTGGATTTAGGTTAGGATTACTGTACATGGTTGATTATCTCCAACTCCGAGGCCAATTATATCAGAAAGCGAGGCCCGTCCCCAGGCAGTACTATTTTGGCTGCCAAATTTGAAGCAGGGTGAGAGTTGACACAAGGCAGAACGTTACCAGAACGTTCAATGATTCCTCCCCCCACTCGCATGTTAACAGGCTCTCCTTTTCTCTGAGAACCTAGGCTCAGCTGATCTTGTGCCGTGCTGTACTCCACAGGAGTGTCAGCCTGGAGCAGATGATTAGCTCATGTACTGACTTGGGGCTTGAACCCACAATCTTCTGACCTGGAAGCCAGGGTGTGAGTGCGACTGAGTCAAGCTGATAAAATCCCTGGAAGCCCAAGAGATTTCCAGTGCAGTTGACTGACTGTGGAAGGTCAAGCCAAAGCCTTAGCTTTGGTTCAGATCACAGGCAAGGTGGGAGGGGTGGTAGGAGGAAAGACACAAATTATTTTCCATCAGTTGTGAAGCATAGAAGCGGTCTCGCCCTCCTAACTCCTTTCCACAGGCTGAAAATCCCACTCAAGTCTTAGCCTGTCAGACAATTGCATCTTAAAATCTATGATTGCTCAGATTCGCAGAAAAACTCTTGTTAAAGTTTACTCTTAAACCGGAAAGCCTTATTTTTAACTACAGTAAGTGAACCTCGGAAAGCCGGCTTCCGAATTAGGATCGAATTGAAGAATTCTCCACTGCTCTGTGACAGCAAATGGATCTCTAGGCTGAGGCAGGGTTGAATTTCAGACCTGTGATGGCCACAGTGTAAGCATTGGCAAAGCTGCCCACAAGGCTTTGCTGGGGTAATCTGTGTGTGTGTGTGGGGAGAGAGAGAAAGAGGCTGACAAATAAAGCAGTACATTAATTGATCTTGGATGCTGTGAACCCGACCTCCAGGAGGACAGGAGATCCCAATCATTGGGAGATATTAAACATGGCTGTGAAACCCTGAGTAGGTACCTGTGCTGTGAGCTCAGATTTAACACCACACTTAGAAAATGCGCCGGGAGATAGATTTGTACCCCTTGGAGCACTGTTGAGGCAGGCAACGTTGACAAGTTCCCTCAGGACAGAGCACCAGCCATTTTCTGTTGACAGCGTTCAGTGTACATATTTACCCCGATTCCTTCACTCCTTCCACGGCGGCAGCTCCCACTCACATTGCTGCTTGGCTCCACGCTCTGCATGGCCAGCGTTTTGCCCGTTTTTCAACAGTTTTATTGCATCTCATGAACCTTCGTGGCGAGGCGACAGAACCCGTGACATGTGGATCAGAACACGGTCATTTCCAGCATGCGATGGCCCAATTTTATCAGGAGTGGGAAAGGAAATTGGTGAAAGGAACCAGTGGGTGGGTGTGGGGTGCGTGGTGGGGGAAAAACCTAAGAGGTGGAGGGGAAGTGCGATGCAAGTGCACTCTCGAGCACCTAGAATGCCCAGTCTCCACACAGAGTTGTCAAAGAGGAAATTAAGTCACTTCAAAAGCCTCTCTAAACCTTTGAAATGGTTTGCAGGGCAATAATACCCAACAAAGCACAGCTAAGTCTCCCTGGAAAAATCAAAATTAATCCCGCAAACATGGTTCCAAAAAGTCTAGTTTCCCTTTGAAGCCCCGCTCCCCCCACCTTGCCAATGCCGGCACTGATCACTGGCCGCCCGCCGTGTTGCCGTGTGACGATGTGTAGACTGCGTGTCCCAGACAGGGCGACCTAGAGAGTCAGAGGGATTTGCCAGATGAGCAGCGTGTTGTCCGAGTCACTGTGTACGGTCGGCTTGGAGTTTCCGTTTAACCTCTGGTAACCCCGCCCCCCCGAGAGAATGGCCACTGAGCCCACCCTCTCCTTCCTGGCCGGCTCTCGGGGGGAAGCCCTGCTTCTCACCCACACGTCCGGATCGTCCACAATTTCGTAAATGGAACCATCCTCCACACTGTGCTCCGGGGAGCAGCTGCCGTTGGGTTGGGGCTGTTCCTGGGCAGACAGGAACTGGCCGGGGAGGTGAGACGTGGTCTGCAAGCTGTAGCGCAGGAAGATTCCCTTCTTCCTGTCCTGCTGGCTCTGCTGTTCCTGCAGGGATTCCTGGGAGGAGGAGTCCGTCTTGACCTCGGAACACTGGCTCTCCGACACGTCCTCGGAGGAATCGCTCTTCAGGGAATCCAAACACAGGGAGCCCACCGCGGGAACCAGGAACTGCACTGGGCCACAATGAGCATTCAGCGAAATCATCCCCTTCCCTGGAAAACATCACATCAGATACTCAGCAACAACAACAATTTACGCAGCGTCTTTCACATCAGGAGGAGGTCCCAAGGCGCTGGACAGTCAGGGATCTGCACCCAAACTGGTGGTTGGGATCAGGAAGGGAGGGGAGGGGTAGGAGGTCAGCCCCCACCTGCAGGGCAACAACTGGGAAGAACTAGAATCCCAAAATTCCTCAACATCCGTTTTACGTTGAGACACCAATGATTTAAGTGAGTAAGGAGACAGGCACATTGACTCAATCTCGACACTAGCTCAATTGCTAACCATATTCATTCAGAATTTCTTTAGCAAATGGGGAGGTTAGGAGAAATTGTTCACACAGCGTAGTCAGGGCTTCTCCCCGTGTTCCGCTTTAACCAGCGGGAGCTGTGGTTAAAGCGGAAACCATATTGGCTTTCAAAAGGGAAAAGGATTAATACTTAAAAAGCAGTACAACAACAACAACAACAAGATTCCATTTATAGAGCACCTTTCACGTCGGGAGGACGTCCCAAGGCGCTGTACAGTTGGGTCAGGACCGAGCAAGGGGGAAATGGTCAGGGTGAGGGGAGGGAAGGGAGGGAGCGAGGAGGGGGGAGAGAGTCGAGAGGGGAGCTGAAGGCACGGTCAAAGAGAAAGGTCTTGAGACCGGCCTTGAAGGAGGAAAGGGAGGAAGCGGTGAAGGCACTGGGGGATAGAGTTCCAGAGCCTCGGGGCTGAGAGCCCGGCCACCGATGATAGGGCGGTTGGGGCGGGGGATGTGGAGCAGACCGGATTGGGGTTGTGCAGGTCACTGGGACTGAAAGGATTACTATTAAAGGAGCCGGCAGACACATTAAATGTAAATGTCTATGGTTCCAAGGCCTTGGATCAGGAGAAATTCTGTGCCTCAGGTTCAGTCAGAGAAACAGCCAATTCAGAGCCTACCTGTTACTTTGGGAATGCCCTCGAGTTTTGGCACAGGCAACGCAATCAGCAAGCCCTGGTCAGTCCCCACCCACAGCAGCCCCTGGCACACCAACAGGCTGGTCACCAGCACCTTCCTCTGGCCTAGCGAGAAACAACAGTAACAGTAACAACAAATTACACTTGTATCAGAAAGATGTCCCAGGCTGCTGGACAATCAGGGGATTGGGACCAAGATGTGAGTAAGGGACAGGATGCGTGGAGGGCAGAGGGGGGATAGGGGTGGGAGGGATACCGAAGGAATGCTCAAAGAGGAAGGTCTTTAGACGAGATTTGAAGGCAAGAGAGGGGGTGAGGTGGAGGGATTGTGGGATAGAGTTCCAGAGTGTGCGGGCAGAGATGCTGCGAGAGACAAACAAGCAGAGAACAAAGTCTGATCATCTCGAACACAATAACCAGGTAACGTCACTGAGCAAATCTCTCACGGTGGGGGCGGGGAGGGGGGGTGGGTGTGGGGGGAGGAGGCAGGGGTGGTGGGCGGAAGAGAGAGTGTGGGATGGGAGAAACAGAGGGATCAAGAGAGAGAGTGAGGGGGGAGGGGAAGGGGAGAGAGAGAGAAAGAAAAAAAGCGAGAGAGTGGGGAGGAGGAAAGAAAGAGAAATAGGGCAGGGGCGGGGGTGGGGGGAAGTGCCAGTGTGGAGTGTGAGGGCTCAGTGGGAGACGGGGAGAATTACCCGGAGTGAGGCAGGCGCTGCGTGGGGCAATGTTGATCTCCTGTAGGTGCTCCAGTGTCTCGGTGTGAAACAAGCGCAGTGAGGCCCCAGCTGAGAACGCCATCCACACACCACCCCCCGCCTTCATCATGTGGGTCACAGTCACCTCCTTCTGAGGATGGGCATCGAAGCACTGCGAGGCAGAGAGACAGGAGCTCTCACACCCCAACACAACAACAACAATGACTTGCATTTATATAGTGCCCCAGAGCACTTGACAATATTCCAGAGACCACAAAGGTGGAGGGCGGGGGGGGGCGCTTTCACGATAGTCACAATATTTCTTTACACAAAGGAGAATTGATAGGTGGTGCAAGAATTGTGGTCGAGGTCAGGACACTTGGGATGTGTTTAAGAAATAGACGCTGTGATGTGAGGACGGGAGGGCGGGAATTCTGGAAGGACGAGATCAAATGGAACTTCTTCACCTTAACTTAGACTGTGAGCGCACATGAGGCTTCAGCCCACAACCTCCTGCCTAACCCAGAGGTGAGAGCGCGAGCGTCTGAGCCAGGTTGCCGCTGTAGGATTGAATAGACGTTCTGTCCCACCCCTTTAAGACAGAGTGGGCCTGAGAATGCTCATGGAAACAGAGGAATGTATTGATGTATTGATGTCAGACGACAATGCAGCATCTGCTTGTTAATTCTATCTCCTGCTAGACAGCGTGGAGGAAAAACACTTATTTTGTCCCCCCTCTCTTCAATGTAACTTTTCATAAAATATTCTAACAGAAATTAATCAAAGATCATTTGCAAGACAAGGCCATACAATCCCCGGCTCACTTTGTAATGTAAATGGCTCCAGCACAACACACCAAATATGAATTTTTAATGTTTTTATTTTAAAGCCTTAAGAGAATGGGTCAGGTTAAAACCTGTTTATGGAGTCCTACATTGGAAACAGAATTCATTCACCTCGCCTCAGCTGCTCTGTGCTGGCTTTTGCATTTTTTTGTATAATTCATTTCAGTGTCACCTTGGCTCAGTCGCTCTTGCTCTGACCTCTGGGCAACACAGTTTGGAGCACATTGTACCCACACTGTCCCCTTGTCTTAAACTCACAGTCCAGACTGATGCTGCAGCACAGTGCTGTGGGAGCACCACATTGTCAGAAGTGCCACTTTTCACATGAGAAGCCATTAGAAAAGAGAGGGGAGTTTCTCTCTACTGGTATCCTGGCCAACAATCCTCCAGATAAATTGGTCTGGAGTGGGACTTAATGGGTAGCGGGAATGGGATCTCCTGGCTGACACAGGAGATCACCATCATTCTGTATAGACCATCCGAGAAATAGCTGAATGCTGTAATGGGAGGATGGTTGGATGAAGATTCTGGAGAGATGAGATGAGACCAAAAAGAAGGCCAAAAGGACCTTCTTCATCTGGGTATTATTGTGATTATTATGTTAAAAGTTTTGGGGTGGTTTGGGGCATGAGTGTTCATACCCAAAATAGGAACTTAATATTAACTGGAATTCTGCTGTTTAACAGATTCCATGCGATAATTTAAATAGGTTACAAAACATCCTATTTTCACCCCAAACTCCAAAAATACTACCTGTCTTTAGTTTGTTAACAGTTAAGATGGCTCGGAAGATTCTTAAATTCAGTTCTAAGAAACGTTTTTGGGGGGAGGGGAAAAGTTCTGGAAAAGAAATTGGCTCTGTCGTTAGGACTGAACTTAAGACTTCTCGGAGATCTCTGAAGACAGAATGGGTCTCTCGGGGCTAAGAGCAGGTGGACGTAAGCCTCCACCGCCTGGTCACTCAGCGCTGCTCTCACCCGGGTTGTGAAGGAAGCCACGTGGATCAAAGTGACCTGGTTCTGGCAGCTGGCCCACACCGTGTCATCTACTGCCAGGAGCGATCGGATAGGAGATGGGCCCACCTTCACACAGCGAGGACGATCCCAATCCCATGATCCTTCTGGGACATAATGGGGCGATTCGGGGGGGAAACAGGGTGGAAGACAAAGAATTAGAACCGAACGCTAGTATAATGTATTGATCCTGATATTTGATGTAGAGCCTTATCACATTTTCAAGATGTCTCAAAGCGCTTCACAGAATATACTGTGAAGTGAATTGACTGTATATTTTGACTTGGTATTGTGGATGAGTGATCAAATTATTCTTTTAAAAAAAAAATTTTTTGAAGAGATTACCACCTGCGGAATGCGATCTGCCAATCAACTAACCACTGGGTTCCTATTTACTGCTAGGTAAACAGAGGCATGTGGAGTAAGGAAACTTGCCCAACGTTTCTCCGTGCCTGGGAATTGAACCCAAGTCCTCTCGCTTGCAAGGCGAGCGCTCTAACCAACATGCTACGTGAAAGTTAGTAATTAAGTTGGGCTGAGCCCATCAATATTTCCCTAATTCAGGTGGAATAAACTCGAGAGGCGGATTGTGGCTTGATTATCCCCACCATCCGCTTCTCCCCCCAACTACCCCCAGGCAGGAATGCAAGATGGCGGCACCCAGATCCTGACATTCCCTAAATAAAGAACGGAACCACTTAGGGAATATCACAATTTTAACCCCATTAACAAGTCAGCTCTTGCTGGTAAGCAGGATCGAGCTTTATGCTAATGTCTATTGTGGTGGTGTGGGCTGTGCAGTGTAGTAATCTTTGCTGGAGCCTCACCCTGAGTCCTGCTGTATATCAGCATCGTCCCGTCCTGCAGGCCGGCAAACAGGAAATTCAGCAAATGTTTGAGACATGCGACAGGCACCTCCCCAGGGCTTTTACATGTAAACACGCACTGAGCTGCCATGTCAACGCTGCCATAACCCAGGACACTGAAAAGACAAAATTCTACTATAGTTACAAGCTCCTCAACATTCAATAGAGCGCCTATCTGACCCCAGCCCACTCTCCCACTTGTTCTCTCAGACTTTTAATATTCCTCCTCTTCAAACCTCTAATTCTCTTTCTTCAAAGGATTGATGTGCTCTGCCTCAACTGCAGTGTAGAGCGGAGAATCCCACATTCCCACTGCCTATTATTATTGTGCCTTGGGGAATAGAAGGAGATGCTCAGAAGAATTTCTTCTTCATGAGGGATATCAGGAGAGGGGAACTATTTGCCCGGGGGAGGAGGGCAGTCTGTTAGAGCAGAGCTGTTCGTGGACGTTTAAAACAATTGAATAGGGATCCGGGGGGGTGGGGTGGGGGATGGGGGTGAAAGAGCGGGGGATCTGGATTAGGAAGGACGGCTTCCTGAAGGAGCAAACACCGACGCAGGAGAACAACAACTCAGGGTAGCGTCCCAGAGCACTTGAAAGTGGTGGAGCACACCGCCGAGCCAAGGGAGGTGACCATAGGCACTGTCAAATAGGAAGGTCTACAGGCATGACCTAAAGATAGGCAAAGAAGGGGCAAGTTGGAGGGACAGAGGAAGAGTGTTCCAGAGTTTGGGGGAGTAGTGGCTAAAAGCGCAACCACCGATGGTGGAATGGAGAGACAATGGGTACAATGGCCTGGTGCTGTGTGGTCTGTTTCCCTGGTTCTCAGTGACTGATGGCTGTGCTCCCAGTGAAACATTAAGAAGTATTTGCACAATATGAGTTCTCAATTGAAAAGCTGGCACTGGAGTTGGACACAGAGGCTAAAACCTCTTTGCTGATGGATTTATTTCCAGCAAAGTGTTTGATTCAGCACTGCCTGATTGGCTGCAGATTGAGATGTTCCATTAAATAACGGCAGCCTGAGATGTGATGTTTTAGTAATTATTCTCAAGGGCAATGATTTTGCTCACAGTAAATCCCACGAGGTGAATAATTCACGTGGAGCAGGAGGACAGTTGGCCAGGACACCGGAGAGAGGAACTCCCTCTCTTTTCCAATAGTACCTGTTTAAGGTCCATCCAGTGAGACCTCACAGCGAGTTCCTGTTAACCACCTCAATCCTGTGCTCATCAGATGTCAAATGACCAACTTGCATCTATCCTCTGGGGGCGGGAGGAATTCATGGGAACTAGGGTCTCCTTGAAGTTGAACTGTGAAGGCACACTCTGGGGTCCCCAACCCTGACTCTTGCCAATCTGTGCTTAATACTCTTAGGACACTGGAGTATCAGATCAGACTATCAGCTTTTGACCCCTACATGGGGCTTGAACCCACAACGTTCTAATTCACAAGCAAGACCGCGCTGCTGACTGCTGACTGAGCCGGGCTGGAAGAACACAGGGATCCTCCCAGTAGGCCAACAGAGAGGACTTATTAAAATGAAATGGGTCAGGTATTAACTCAGAAACAAATTGCTCGTTTTTCTGTTTTTTTAAAAAGATTAAACACAAGGGAAGTCTCTTTGACGGCCACTCCAGATCTCTCACCAAAAAGATTCACCTGAAGACTGATGGGATAACACGTGTCTGCCCCCTGCTGTTGAAACGTTATATTGCTGTTAATTAATCCTACTTGGATTCAGTTTTAGAGGTTTTATAAAGATAGAAATAATAATCCTATAATAAAATAATAAAAAATAATAAAATTTTATTATAATTTATTTATAATTTATTATAATATTATAAAATTTTAAAATAATAATAATGTCTCGTCGAGACATCTCAAACGTTTCACAGGATATATTGGAAAATGTGTATTTTGTGGGCGAATAAAGAAAAACTTGCATCTACGTCTGATTGACTCAATTCATTGGAGGATGGATGGAAGAAAAAATTCCCTCCTCTATTCTGAAGCATACAGGGATTCTTTAACTCCAACCTGAGAACAATACAACACTGACGTGTTAGCCAGTGAGCTTCGATACAGGGCTTCAACCCATATCTCACCACAAGGACAGGTCGGTATTAACTGAACGAAGGACACCACACAACAAAGCTTGAGAAATCCCAATTATTCTCAGTTTTGTTCACACACCTTCCTCTCCCAAAATCTCCAACAATAATATCCAAAGAGAGGAACCTCAAACTCCACACACCCATAACTCCCATCCTCTCCAGACTCCACCTAACTCCCAGAATCCGAGTAACCATTAAATCCCTTCCATCTCATTTCTCTACACATCTCTGTAATCACCTCCTGGCCATATCCTCAGAGTTTCCAAATCTGATCTACAGCTCGCTCCTCTCTCCCTCCATCTCACTATTTTGGTGGTTGAGCCTTCTCTGTCACTACACCCCCTCAGAACTCTTACATAACTTGGTGTAAAAATAGCTACAGTGTTAACATACATGAACAGCCATTAATGAGACCCGATGGAGGTATTAAAAATGATGAGATTTTGGTAATTTAACTGGGGAAGAATTACTGTACAGAGCTCACACACCATAGAAACATATGACAGAGTAGGAGGTCATTCAGCCCGCTCTTCCCCTGAATGTTTACTCCTTCATTAAGATGTCCATCCCAATCCTTTGCACTTTCTCCCATCTCCTCCTGTTCAATCCTCTTTCTCCTCTCCGCCCTGCTTGGTGATTCCCAACAAGACGTTCACTCTGCGTACATTCAAGGGAGCCTTTTACCTGCCATCCAGCAGCCCCAGGCAGATGATGGGACTGGCTGCAGTGCGCTCAGTCGGGCAATTGGCCTCCTCCACATCTGGGAAGCTTCCAGGGATGAATTCCATGCACAGGACCCGGGAACTGACCAAGAACGACTTGACGTGCCGTGGGGTGCATCGGTTTAAGGAGTAAAGGTCCACTTGCCCCGGGCCCAGCTCTCGCCCGCTGCCAACCTGCCGGAGAGGAAAGATGACAGACAGAACAGAACGATTGTTAATGAATTTCGAGATCCTGCTGAAAAGAAAAGGCAACAAACCAGCTGCTCAATAAAGTAACTGGGAGGAAGCCGCCTCGCTGTGATAATTACCACCGGTAGTGATATTAGGGGACCTGGGAAAAGAGTGAGAATTGGACTGTGGCAGATCATGGAGCAGTTAGCATCTCAATGGTCTCCTGAACTGTAATTAACACTCCCACTTTCCCCCCCACTTGATCTCCAGTGCAGCAGGAGGCCATTTGACCCACTGTATTGCATCAGTGTTGGCATTTGGTTGTCCAATTAAGCCATCCCATCCTAACACTAACTGCCTGCTCTTTCCCTGTTCTGTCAAATTGTTGTGTGTTTTAGTCTATTTAAATGCCCCAATCAACAGTCACCTTTGACAATTCATTCCACTCTCTGACAAACTTCAAACAACTTTTCCCTTTTCACACTCTGGATAATAATTGTAAAATCATGCCCTTGAATCACGCACTAGTGGAGATACAGTAGTTCCTCACCATTTATCCTCTCAATTGCTTTTAAACATCAGTACAGTTTGAGATCGGGACAGTGTCCAACCACACATTACTCTAGTGGGGAAGCTCTAATTTCAGGTCAGAATGTGAAGAATTTTGTGTGATGATCAAGTCCATCCCCTAACATGTGCAGACTCATATTAGTAGCCAGAAATAAAGAATTCTACAGGACAGAGGAGGCCATTTGGTCCATCATGCCCATATATTTCCCTCACAAAACTTACAGTCAATTCACTTTACAGTATATTCTGTGAAGCACTTTGAGACATGTAGAAGATGTAATCAGGCGCTATAACAAATCTAAGAATATGTGCTTTTCCAAGTCCCACTCTCCTGCCGTTCCTCACCCTACAAAACACTTAAAACCTGGTACCGGGATTGGCTAAATACCCCCACCCTCCCCACACCCACACCCACTCACATTTATATTTTCTTAAATTGCTATTCTGGATTCAGCTTTAACCAGTGTTTTTGGTCAGGCATTCATTGTACTAATAAATCTCTATGTGAATGAGTGAGTGAGTGGGTGGGTGGGTGGGTGAGTGAGTGAGTGAGAGAAAACATATCTCTCAATCTCTCCCTTTGTATGATCATCTTAAATTGATGCCCATTAATTACAGATTCAACGACCAGGGAAGATAACTTCTCATCATTTTTAACAACTGGAAACAGTCCCAATTGTTCTTGTGTCTCCTCATAACTAAAGCCTCTTTCAATAAACATATACATGTGCCTGTGCTGTTTCAGATGGATTAGATTGAAAGGCTATTATTATCTTCTCCTATAACTTGCCTTAAGCATTGTGTATCACTCACCCATAGGTAGCCTTGTGCTATGGAGGTACTGGCTGTGGAAATTCCCAGGATAGATGATTGTACTGGAGTGTGTAGAGCTGCTTCAGGCTGCAAGAAAATGACCAGGAAATAAGTGGACATCTCAGAGAGGACCGAACACAGAATAGGATTGATAATAATCCTTGCATTTAATCTATCGTTTTATCACATCACTGAAACATCTCAAAGCGTTTCACAGAGTATACTTTAAAGTGAATTGACTGTATATTTTGTGGGTGAAATGCAGCAGCCAATTGCACATAGCACCGTCCCACAAACAGCTGTGACCAAATTATTATTATTTATTTTGAAAGTATTATTACCCATGGAAAGCGATCTGCCAATCGACTAACTTACTGCTAGGTAAACACAGACGTGTGGAGCAACGAAACTTGCCCAACATCTCGCCCTGCCTGGGAATAGAACCCGGGTCCTCTCTCTTGCAAGGCGAGTGCTCTAACCACTACATTACGGGACTCCACATTATATTGATTGAGAAAGGAAACCCAGAACAATGCTTTCAGATGTACCAAGACAAGAGGGCACAGGTTCAACAACAACAACAACAAATTACATTTGTATAGCCCCTTTCATGTCAGCAGGACGTCCCAAGGCGCTGAAAGGGTGTGAAGAGCAATTTCAGGACGGTTGGGATGGGGTAACCAGGAAGGGTAGGTGAGGTGGTGACACACGTAAGACGCAGTTTGATGTTGGATGGTCAGCAGGGATTTGGAGACTTCCAGTCTGGGCCATGAGTAAGAGACACCCAAGGTCTGAAATTTCACCTAGTCTTAACTTGAGTCAATTTTAGTTTGAATTTCAATACTGCGCTGGATTGTGAAATTGTAGCCTTCATTTGGAAGGCGGATTTCCACCATTCTTAAAAAATAACCAGTTTCCAAATTAGAAGTGGAATTAAGGATTTTTTTCCCCTCAGTTCTTACATTTTAAGACAAAATTGCTCCCAGGCCAAGACCAGGTGAAATCTCTGCCAGAGGATGTGTCTGGGAGGCAGTAAATCAAGTTGAAGAGGAACTGACTATTGCAATGGCAGACATTATGTGCAGTACACAGTGTCCAACAGGAACTTGCGTTAGTGATAAAAAAAACTGGAATAAGAACAAACAGCCCATCAAAGACCAGAGGAATTCGAGCCAATGGAGCTTAGTACAAAGGGAAGCGATGTCAAGCTCTCTCAGAATCCTATCTCAATTTCTATCTTTGCTGCATCAATAACTTTTATAGATGCATATTATGGGCTATTTGATATTACAGAACGTTAAATACTGAGACTTGCATTGATAAATGGGCGTTTCATAGCTCCCACACCACGATACGACTTCCCTTACATCTGATTAGCTATTAAAGTGTTGAGAATGTAAAAGCAGTATAATAGTTAGCAGATGGTTGGAATTTTCACATTAAAGAGAGGGGATTGTAGGTAAGAGTCATTGACTTATGTAAATTACAGTTATTTATGTGGTAGGATAATTAAAACCGGTAATTATCAGGTTCTGACTGTCATTAATGAACCCTAGACAGCTGCAGTTTGCTTCCTAGCTGTCCTTAAAATGAGAAAAATATAATTCATCCATCTGTCTAACTGACAGCACTTCACTTCACATCAGCAAACGAGCTGAGAGGCTGCCTTGTGCTGTACATACACACTGACTGGAGCATCTCCACACTATCACACACTAACCATCACTTCACACAACACAACACGTTCGCCTACAAATACAGTCTCGACATTTCACACTGAACTCTGCCCAACGCACTTTCGATGATGTGATAAGGTGCCATATCAAACGCAAGTCACAACTTGAGCTCGCAGTCCAGTCGCAATCTAATACTCCAAGACGCCACACCACGTAATGGGCAACAGCAACTTGCATTTATATAGCGCCCCTCACGCAGGGCAGCATTCCAGAGCGCTTGTGTAAATGCAAATTGCTTTTGTTGTTTCGTTGCAGATGCCACCACTTGGATGAGATGTTCAACCAAGGTGCCTGTTTAAATGGATATTAAAGATACGGGCGCTATTCAACAAAATAGTTTCCCACAGTGTCCTGTCAACAATCCCACCGATAAAATTGGTCGTTCAATTCATAGCTGTTTGTGGGACTGTGCTTGATGTGAAATAGCGGCTTGCTGCTTTTACTTACAAACAGGTACTAAACTGGACAGTAATTGCTGTAGAGCACTTAGAAGTGTTCTGAGGTGATAAGGTGCTAATAACAAGTCAAGAACTGTGCTTGTGTTCCAGTTCTTTCATTTAACAGAAACCTGCCTCGTCCATTTCTCTCAGATGCAATTACAGCCCGAATAATCTCCCACTCCATCTGTCTGCTTCAATCAGGGCTCCCGGGTGCAGTAAACAAATTTATAAACTTTCCTTTTTCTAGTCGACCGTTAAAAGATTTTCTACAGAAACAAAATGTTTTTACTAACAAAGAAACCGCCAGAAAGTCGTGCACCAACCAGCACATCGTACACAGTTACTACACATGGCAGTGATTATTATATGCGCTCTGAGACACTGACATAACAAGATGCAATTTTTTTTCCTTTCTTCTCCACGTCCCCACAATTTAATAATTTGGTCATTTGGTCCATGGCTGTTTGTGGGGACGCTGCTGTGCGCAATTGGCTGCCGTGTTTCTCTCACAAAATATAAAGTCAATTCACTTTACAGTATATACTGTGAAGCGCTTTGAGACATCTTGAGGACATGATAAGGCGCTGCATCAAATGCAAGGATTATTATTATTATTTTAAACAGAGAGAAAGTGGGGTTTGAAAGTTACTGATGCGTACCATTACATGCTGTCCCCTCGCCTTCCCTCCCCCGCGCCTCACAAACAACAAGCAAATACATTGGAGCTTTCCTCCAGTTGATGGCTGTTGACACGAGCACACAAGGTACAGTTCAACTCGCAGATCATTTTCCGGCACCTTGGTCAATATTTTATCACTAATCTGCGTCAACATCTTAGTTTTTCCTTTTGATCTATAATCTTTCTGCTTACACACACACACACACACACACACACACAAGCAGCAGGAGATGTGAGCTGACATTTATACTCTGGGGGAATAAGATTAGTGACACTATTTACCCTGATGGTGCGGTTGGTAACAGATATTTCCCAGTGTGTGACAGCCACACCGGCTGGCTCACATCCCCAGTCTGTGCCGGAGGCCGGATCAATACAGTCAGATTGGATAACCAGCTGAGCTGTACAATCATGAAGGTGATGTGGAGATAATAATAATAATATTTACATTTGATACAGCACCTTATCACTTCTGTAGCTCAGTGGTTAGAGCACTCGCCTTGCAAGCAAGACACCTGGGTTCGATTCCCAGCAGGGCGAAACCTTGGGCAAGTTTCCTTACTCCACACAGAGCCTAATAATAATCCCTCCAAAACAAAACAATAATAAATTGGTCATTTTCAATCCACGACTGTTTGTGGGAGATTGCTGTGCGCAATTGGCTGCCGCGTTTCACCCACAAATATACAGTCAATTCATTTTACAGCATATTCTGTGAAGCGCTTTGAGACGTCCAGAAAAGCGCTATATCAAATGCAAGGATTATTATTATTAATATATTAAATTATTTGAGACATCTCAAAGCGCTTTACAGGATATACTGTAAAGTTAATTGACTGTATAACTTGCGGGTGAAACTCGGCAGCCAATTGCGCACAGAGGTGTTCCGCAAACACTCGTGTATTGAGTGACCAAATGATTACTTTTTATTTATTCTGAAGCGATTATTACTCCCGGAAAAGCGATCTGCCAATCGACTAACAACCGGGTTCCTATTTACTACTATGTGACCAAGAACATGTGAAGTAAGGAAACTTGCCCAACGCTTGGCCCTGCTGAGAATCAAACCCAGGTCTCTCGCTTGCGAGGCAAGTGTTCTAACCACTGAGCTACAGGATTCCACAATATCACACAGGCGAGGCTGGGATGAAGAGACATTGTCCTAGCACAAAAGGAGGCCATTTGGTCCATCGAGTCTGAGGCAGCTTTAAAACTTTAAAAGAGGCCGAAGGTGCTTTACAAATGTAATTATTTGTTATTGTTGTCCCAGTCAGTTCCTAATAACCCCGATTTTTTGTGAACTTCCCTCTGTGTAAAGGAATACTTCCTGGTGTCTGTCTAAAATTGCTCTTCATCGCCTTCAACCTACGCAATCTTGTTCACCTAAGTTGAGCTGTAAAATTAGTCCTTCGTGATCTTTTAAAGACTGGCCATCTTACCATCAGGTCCTGACATTTTGAGGTATGCATGGGCAGTCTGCAGGCAAGCAGGGGGCACCAAAAGGGAGCTTTCATTTTCCCATCGTCCTCCAAACAGAGCCAGCCCGGCTGGTTCTCTTTACCTGGTGGGGGGGGCGGGGGAGAGAGAGGGAGAGTTACAATAAAATCAGATTCCCACTGAAAGCTTCAAGAAGAACTTCCAGTCCTTAAAACAAATCTACAGTATGTATATGTGGATGTACAGGTTCAGTATTATTAAATCTGTTATTGAATTTGTTAAGAAAGTGCACGTTTCCACCTATTACTAAAGCTCGACACGCCCAGCAAACTCACCTCCACCTCCTCTGCCTTGTGAGGCGACATCCCAACAACAAGGGGTGTCACCTCACTGTCAGAAAGCTGGAGAATGAACCGATTGCTGGTGAGTACGAGTAGAGAGCGGGGCAGTGGGACAGGCACGATGGGTCGAATGGCCTCCTTCTAAGCTGTAATATTCTATGATTCTATCTACTCAACTTTAAGATCCTCTCACTCTCGTGTTCAAATCCCTTTATTCTCTGGCACCTCCCCCCCTCTCTGACCTCCTCACTCCCCAATCCACCACCTGGCGCCTCTGCTCGACTGGCACCGGCTCCTGTCCGTACCTCTCACCTTCCGCCTCACCATCAGATGTCATGCTTTCAGCCACTACGCCCCCAAACTCTAGAACACTCTTCCTCAATCCCTCGGCCTTGCCCCCTCTCTCCCCTCTTTCAAGTCGCACCTGAAAACTTTCCTGTTTCTGAATGTGCTTATGGCCACCTCCCCCAGGTTCGGAGTCAGGCTCCGCCACTGTTAAGCGCTCTGCGAGACGCTACCCTGCATGGAGGGCGGTATATAAGTGCAAGTTGTTGCTGTTGCTCCACAAAATACATCTCCCTGGAGATCACAACCATGGCTTCGGTGTCACAATAATAATCCTTGCATTCACTAAAGCACCCTATCAATGTTGTCACAACAACTCAAAGCGCTTTAAGACATCTCAACGATGTGATAAAACACTGTAGAAATGCAAGAGTTATGATTATTATTATTAAGGAGGGAGTCCCAGAGCGGAGGCAGAGGCTGATACCACATTCTTACTCTTTTACCCGGATCATAGTTTGTCACATCATGACCTTGGTGTAGATAGTATAATTAAATAGTAAGTATTGTACTGAATTGCTCTGCACCCTTGTTCCTATTCACTGTTAAGCAGCTGTGCACCACACACCACTCTATTATGTTGATCCTATTTTAATTTGAGAGTCTTTACAAGACCATTTGGCAGCCTGCGGAGACTGGACACCGGGGTGATCCATCTTGTACAGTAACACACAGGGCGGCATTCTCAGTGCTCAGTAACTGCACCTATTAATGAATCAGCCCTGGATATGGTCAGACCCATGCGTTAACGATATGGTCGGTTGATCTCAAACAGCCCCAGTCAGTCCTGAAATTATTAACAACCTACAGGGCGAATGCAGCAGGCAATTTACCGCAGCAATGTCCCACACACAGCCGAGAAGTGAACAACTAATTTTAACTGGGGGATTGTGAGCTAGGCCAGAGCACCAGGACCAACTCCCTTCTCCTTTCAAACTAATTGATTTTAATCCTTATCTGATGATGGTAGGTAAAATCTCATGGCCAATATTACACTTTCGGCCATCGAGCGGGTCGCATTTTGTGGGTGAAATGGGGCAATGTATCCTACAAACAGCCACATAGAAAGTGAACAATTTTTTTTATTTGGAGGAATTGTTGGCCAGAACACCAGGAGAAAGAAAACTCCCTTATCTTTTTGAAATGTGCCATGGGATCTTAAACGTCCACCTGAACAGGCAGATGGTATAAGATTTAATCCGATGGACAGGAAGCAATAAAATAATAATAATCTTTGCATTTGGTTTGGTGCCTTATGTCGTCAAACACCTCACAAGAATTCACACGATTCATGTATAGTGCAGTGAATTTTGTTCATGAACACAGCAACCAGTTTATGCACAGCAGTGTCTCACAAACAGCCATGGAATGAATGACTAGTTTTATCACAGGGATTGTCGGCCAGGACACGAGAGATGAACTCTCTTTTTCAGTAATCCTCTAATATCCACCTTAACACCTCATTAGAATGACGGCACCTGCAACAATGCAGCGTTCCCCCAGCACTATACAGCATTGGTGTGTCAGTTTAGAGTATGAGCTCAAAGTCCTGACGTGGGGCTTGAATCCACACCATTCTAACTCAGAGGCCAGAGTGCTACCAACTGAGCTGGTGATCACTGAAATTTCTGCTGTTTAACCAATTTGATGCAATAATCAAATCTTCCACCCTTTGGAGTCAAAATAATATTGTAAAATATGAGTCTTAACCACTGATACAGGGTTTGTGACTGCTCCCAGGAGCAGAGGAGGGAGAGGTAAGATTGAGACACCGCTGGAACATTACCTACTTAGTGCAACTTTGGCCATGTGGAGCCGATTCACCCAGGAGATTTTCCGGAGCGGATTCAAGGTGTTGAAGACCACCATGAAGCTGACTGGTCTTCCAGACCTGGAGAGAGGGAGAGACAGAGGGGTGGAGAGAGAAAGAAAGGGGGGGGAGAGAGAGAAAGAGAGAGGGATACAGAGAGAGGGAGACAGATGGAGGGAGGGAGGGAAAGAGAGAGAAGGGGAGAAAGAGAGAGATGGAGGGAGAGAGAGAAAAGAGACAAAAATAAAGAGAAAAAGGTAGCGAAAAGAGACAAAAAAGAAAGAAAAAGGGGGAAGGACAAACGAGAGAAAAAGAAACGGAGAAAGAAAATGAACGAGAGAAAAAAGGGATACCATTTTTTTGAAAAAATTAGAAAAGGTGAGTGAGAGAGAGAGTGAGAGTGGGGAGAGATGGAGAGAATACAATTAGCAACCACAGTTTACTTTAATGGTTAGCACAATGCTGAAGTAAGCTCTCAGGAAGTGAAGTGTGAGGTTTTACACTAATCCGTCTCAGTCGGCCTGCCCCCACAGGGGTCTCTCAGGGAATGAGCTGCTGTAATTTCTAGATTAAGAGGCTAAGCCTTTTCTTTAAAGAAGCAGTTTTAGGGAATGAAAAAGCAGCTGCAGAAGCAGATTTCCTGTTTGGATCAGTTGGTTAAAGAAAACTACATATGCCTCCAAATCGCTTAGTATAGGCAGCATCCACCCACTAACCCGGCAAAGGTTGAAATTTTACATTTTTATTAACAAACAACGCGAACTCATCATTTCTTTAAAATAGAACACAAACTCCAGGGTTTTACTCAGTCGTTGTGAGCAATGATGGGCTGGACCAGACAGAGAGAATCAGCACAGACATATCAAACTCAGGGAGGGGAAGAGAAGCAGGAGAGGAGGTCCATTTGTTGGGGATTGTGATATTAACTTCCCACCCTCCCACCCCCCCACCTTAGGCATTGGACTTAGACATCCCACTAATGACATCTTGTACTTTGGGTGGGTATTATATAATAATAATAATCCTTGCATTTGATATAGCGTCTTATCCCGTCTTTGAGACGTCTCAAAGCTCTTCACAGAATATACTGTAAAGTGAATTGACTGTATATTTTGTGTTCTTGTGGACCTTATTGTTATCAAGAACAAAGAGGTTCTTGATGACACCAGAATTCCTAAACACATTTAAGTTTATGGTGTTGACATGGGTTTTAGAATTCATCCCCCACCTTTCCCTCTTCCCCCATTGCTTAATATTTTCAGCTCTGTAATCTTGAACTCCAGCACGCGGGGATCATTTCCATCAAGCACTGAACGCACACTGACCCCAACCCAGATTAACCAGACAGGGCTGGGTAATTTGGGTTGGGGGGTCAGTGTCCTGGAAAGCTCTTGAGAGACCACTCTCTGAGCAGCATAGCTATCTTCCAAAACAACTCGATTTCCTGCAATTTTAACCTCTATTAGAGGGAATTTTCCCCTTTTATAGCACCTTATCACATCAAGCATAGGTACGTAGAAACAGGAGTAGGCTCTTCAGCCCCTCAAGACTGTTCCACCATTCTATTAGATCATTCATGATCTGTACCTCAACTCCATTTATATGTCTTTGTTCCCTATCGCTTGATACCCTGTGAGCTAACAAACATCTATATCCCTCAGTCTTGGCAAAAAAATAAATGAATAAATAATAAATTGGTTATTTTCAATCCACGATTGTTCATGGGACACTGCTGTGCACAATTGGCTGCTGCGTTTCGCCCACAAATATACAGTCAATTCACTTGACAGTATATTCTGTGAAGCGCTTTGAGATGTCGCGAAGATGTGAAAAGCGCTATATCAAATGCAAGGATTATTATTATTTATTATAAAATGTGATCACAAAAAAAATTGCAAAAATCTTTGGGGGTGATTTACATCCCCCACACCCCCACACTGCACACGAGACCCCATTGCAAGTTTAAGAGTTTCCAGACAAAGTTCCACAAAAGCATATCTGAGGAATACATTGGTGTGGAATGAATACTGTCAAGTGCAGTATGATTTTGCATACAACAGCATACAACATACAACAGTGATGGACTAATTAATCTGGAGGACTGTTGGCCAGGACACTGGGAGAAACTGCCTTCTCTTTTTGGAGCATGAAGAGCATGGAGCTTAACATCTCATCTGAAGGACGGCACCTCCAGCAACGCAGGACTGCCCCCACAACTGGAATGCACTGCCTGAAAGGCTGGTGGAAACAAATTCAATAACAGCTTACAAAAGGGTACTTGAAAAGGAAAAAAATTGCAAGGGGTACGGGGAAAGAGTTGGAGAGTTGGACTGATTGGGTTGCTCTCCAAAGAACTAGGAGAGACATGATGGTTCAAATGGCCTCCTTCTGTGCTGTAATATTCTATGATTCTATGAGAGGCTGAGCCAGGCTGACACCAGCATAAACAGCTGAATTCACCACATTTAAAGGTTTTGCTGAGCAGACAGTATTGCTTGAGCATAAACATTTCAGTGCACAGTGCGTAAAGATTTCCTTCTCTCTCTCCCTCTCCTTACTTGTCTGGTTTCCCGGGCAACAGAAGCCGGAGACGGCACTTATTTGCCGATTGGATTTCATCCTCTTTAATACGGATCAGCCTCTGCAGCGCCCTACTCCAATCCAGGGCCACCGTCTGGTTCAGATTCTGGAGAGAGCGGACAGACAAGAAAGGCAAACGTCAACCTCACACACATCAATAAATGTGGAAAGGAAATAGTAGAGACCAGGTCTATCATCCCATCAACTCAGGCTTCAGATAATCGCTCCCCACATTTCTCCCCTGGCTGGGCTCAGAGTGTATTGCAGACCCACCTGGCTCAGGAACAACGACAACTTGCATATTATACAGCGCGCCCCTCGGAGCGCTTGACGGTGGCAAAGTTTGACAACAGGCAGGGGGAGAGGGAGTGAGGGTGGAGGTTATTGTAAGCACGATCAAAAAGGAAGGTCTCACCTGGTAGGTGCCGTTGAGCGAGCCGATGAGCTGAGAGATCTGACTGACAACGTTCAGGTCCTGCTGCAGCTCCTGCAACTCCTGGTACAGCCGCGCTGGCCCCATGTACAGCTTGCCTGAGGGCAACAGATACAATCAGCACCAGATCGAGCAGAGGCTATGACAGGGTGAATGGGCAGGGACTATTTGTCCTGGTGGGCGATTCGAAGGCGTGAACTGAACGGCCACTCGGAGGGTAACATTTTAATTGGGATTGAAAAAGTAATAATAATAATTAATGATCCTTGCTTTCACATAGCGCCTTCTAGAAGCTATATCAAATGTGAGGATTATAATTATTATTATTTGGGTGTCATCCACATACACGTGGAAGTTTTGGATGGTTTACTTTTGGATCGACATACTTTAGGATGCACTGGGACAAACTGAACAATAGATTTAGAACTGTAAAAAAGAGCAATTTCAGGACAGACACCAGGAGGGTTTCTGTACCCAGGCTGGAACAGCCAGGAAGGGTGTTTGAGCCCGAGACACTGTGAATCATTTTTTAAAAAAACATGATGGTGTGATGGGAGGACGGCAGGGTAGGGATGGTGTTCTGGAGGGACAAGCTCAGATGGACTGAGGTACCTTATTCATCTGAAGCCATCTTGCTATGAAATGGGAAGTTAGGGAAAGGTTCTCTAGTGCTGCCAACTGGTCACAGAGGTTGTGAACAACAACACCTTGGGTAGCGTACTGGAGCGCTTAACATTGGCAGAGTCTGACCCTGAGCCAGGGGAAGAGGGATAAGGGAGGTGACCATAACCACAATCAAAAAGGAAAGACTTTAGGCGGGATTTGAAAATGGGGAGGGAGTAATAAAGGTGGAGGTACTTAGGGAGGGAGCTTTGGGGCATAGTGACTGAAAGCACAGACTCCGATGCTAGACCGGAGGGGGCGAGGGACGAACAGAAGGTTGGAAAATACGAATTGCTGGACAAAAAAAGACAAAAAAGACTAAAGTCCATCTAGTTTGCCTTCTACCATCCTGTGGCTGAAGGCACAGTTGAAGAGGAAGGTCTTTAGACTTACTGGATAGAGAAGTTGAGGAGGCCCTTTTGCTCCCTGGATGCTGAAAAATTATCATGTCCTTCTCGTAACTCTTCCCTTCCTGCCCCACCTCCACCACCTGGACCTGGGGCAGGGAGGTGCTCCACTTCACAGTGTACTTCGGCCCAACTGGAACAAGGCTCCCGATGTCAGGCTGGCCCCTAGAGCAGAAAACAGGGGAGTAAGAGCATTGCAGAGATGACTCATTCACTGAGGAAATAAGCCATTGCTAACCACATCATGGCCCTGTGCCATTTTGTCCTACTGCCTCGGCATATGTGGCAGGATTGTTCTGGGTTTATATTCTCAATCCTATTTAGTGCCCTATACACGTCTATACGATTCACTCTGAGATGTTTCTTTTCAATGCTGAGGAGCATTTAGATAAATATTTGTTAGGTCAGGGTATTAAGGGATATAGGGCAAGGACGGGTAACTGGACTTGAGGTACGGATCAGCCACGATCTTATAAAATGGCAAAACAGACTCGAGGGGCTGAATAGCCTACTCCTGTTTCTATAATTATTTGATCGTTTCTCACAGCTCATTCCCTGGCACTGTCCTCATTGTTCTTCTGTAAGCCCCGATCAGGCCCTCATGACATGTTGAGCAGAGCGCTACGTAGTACTCCAGTTGTGGCCTGACTAGAGCACTGTACAGCTTGAGTTTAGCTGCTATCCTAATGAATGGATTTTTTGGCCCTGGGTGTATTGCTGCTGACTAACACAAGCCATGGCTCGACTTCCAACCTTTCAAAGCCCATTCTAATATTCTGGAAAGTTCTGTACTTACTTCACGTTGATGTTGGCGCAGATAAGCAAGTCGTTCAGCAGAAAGACTCGCCGTTCTTTGGACTTGAGGAGCTGTCCCCGATCTCCGTAAACCGTCTCGGTCAGGGTCTCGCATAAGACCAACTGCCTCTGGCTGGACGTCAGTAACTGCGGAGAGTGGGGGAAGAGGGGGGAAAGAGGGGAGGGGTGAGGAGATGGGAGAGGGTGTTAGATCTTGTCAGCCTGTGCACCAGGCCGGCAGCCCTGGGCGTGAGCCAGCAGGGACCAACCATTAGGAATCAACTGTGCTCATGGTGGCAGAGATAGATTCAGGACCCAGCTGGATGATTTTCTAGTGTCAAAAAGATAAAGAAAGATAATGAGATAGAAAAAGAGAGAAGAGAGAAAGAGAAATAGGGAAAGAGTGCAGCAGAGATTTTTTCCAGTGTGTAAATCAGGTTCCTTCAAGACCCATCTCAAGACCCTCTTCTTTCACTGTGCCTTCGGTCACCCTCCTTCACCCCCTGCCCTCCATCTTCCCCTATCCCGACTCCCAAGCTTGGGTCGGAAACACTGATTGCCCAGCGCCTCCCGACATGAAAGGTGTTAGACAAACGTCATTTTGTTGCTGTTGTTTCAACACTAAGTTGGTGCCATAATTCTGTCGTTACAAACAGTGACCGGCTCCAACTTAAAACATTTCCAGAAATGCTGCTCAGTCGTCAATATTAAATCTGAGACTAGGAGAAATTTCAGGCCTGCAATCCTTAATAATAACAACAATAATCCTTATATTTGGTATAGAATCCTTCATGTCGCGAGGATGACTCAAAGCGCTTCACAGCAGATAATGTAAAGTGGAGTGAGTGTATATTTGGGGACGAATGCGGCAGCCAATTCTGCCCACAGCAAACAAGCCATAAAGCCAGTGACCAATTTTAATCAAGGGGTATTGATGACCATGACACCAGGATAAACTCCCTTCTCTATTCAAACAGGACCACGGAATAGATCTCTAACGTCTGCCTGAACAGTTACAGACAGGGCTTCGGTCTTACACACTTGCCTTGGGTTACAATAACCAGAGAATATCGTCATGAGTGCACGAGTGACAAGTGTTCACTGGCCAGGTTTACTGGCTGGGACCCGGTGACTGACTGACAGACTGTCAGAGCTGCTCTCTGTCTCCTCACCTTGTTGAGGTTGCGGTCACCCACGCTCTTGGCCAGTTGCTGGATCTCCACGATCTGATCGGCCACTCGTTTCTGTTCGTTGAGTTTGTCGGCCAACATTTCCAGCTCGGTCAGAGCCAGCTGCAGCGACAGGCGGTCAGCGTGGCCTTTCGGTGTGTTCTTCAGCATGTCCTGTCACCGTAACCATAAACAGCTGGAATTCACAACTAAATAACAAGCCTGCTCTGTGATCAGTGAACATTACAGCACAGAAGGAGGCCATTCAGGCCATTGAGCCTGCACCGACGTGGCGACTGCACAGCGGGCGAGCCTTCAGCTACTTTACCTTTGCTCCCTAGGACCCTGTCCCTAAACCCCTTTTCCATTTCCCATCTCTCGCTATGCTCGGGCTCACACTCCATTTCTGTAAAGCATTTCAGGACATTTAACTTTGTGAAAATCGCTGTGTAAGGCTAAGTTGTTGTTGCAGTGATGTCAAAATGTCTCAGTGCTTCACTTGGAATTGCTGTCAAGTGGTTTATTATGGGCAAACACGGCAGCCATTTTGGGTACAGTGAGGACCCACAAGCCACCAGGAAGTGAATGACTAATTAACTCAGGAGGATTGTGGGCCAGGAAACATAGGGGATAGGAACAGTAGGAGGCCATTCAGCCCATCAAGCCTGTTTCAACAGTTTACTAGACATTGGCCGATTTTTTAATCCCAATGTCCCTCCCCTTTTACCATATCCCTACTTCCCAAGCCTCTGCTTGTGTCTCTTTTAAACATCTCTCGATCCCCCTTCTAGAGCTTTCTGAGTCAGGGCGTTCCATATCCTCACAATCCTCAGTGTGAGGAAATGTTTCCTGATCCCAGTGACGAGCTCAGGTCTGATTTTAAGACTGCCCTTGAAACAGATCCTCTATCAGAGCGAAGAGTTGTCTACTATTTAACCTGTTAGTTCTTTTCATTATTTTAAACACCTCAATCATGTCACTCCTTAACCTCCTCTGCTCTGAGGACTATCACCCCAGTGCACCCAATCCACTCTCATCATAGCTATGGCCCTCATCAGCCACTGAACGGGCAGACAGGGCCTTAGTTAAATGTCTCCTCAGAAAGATGTCCCTCTGACAAAGTCAGGAATAGAGGTTAACTCCAACATGTCTCAGTATTTCACTTAGAATTGCTAATCAATCTGACATTTTATTTATTTTTAACCTCTTAAGTTTTTGCCAGGTTTTTGAAGTACAAATTGATTCATTTACTCGTGCTAGACCCCAGCCCAACGCTAACAAGTTTAACGCTAACCAGCCCAATGCTAAGCAGGCAACCTTTCCTTTATCAGCACAACTTTCACTTTGCAAGTAAAAGACTCCCCATTCTGTGTCCCAGGCTCACCTGTAGCAGGAGGATGAACTGTGGGAATCTCTGGATGGGTTTCACCATCAAACCGTACAGCGTGATCCTGTCACTGCTTGAAGCTTGTTTCCTCTGAAGAAGAACAAACGTGGTGAGAACACACAATCAATAACATTAACACACATCCATTACAACACCTCTTGCTTGGCGTGACCATCACAACACGCTTCACAACAGCAATGGAAGACCCAAGCAACAACAAAATACGTAGGGAGGACTTCCTAAGGCGCTGGACAGTGAGGGGTTTGCACCCAAGCTGAGGGCAAGGGGGGATGACCAAAGGCACAATTGACAAGGATGGTCTTGAGAGGTGGAGGAGTTTGCAGAGGGTGGGGCAGAAAGGCTGAAGGCAAGCGGTCGATACTGGAGCGGGCGGGCGGAGTAAATTGAGCAGGCCAGTGCCTTCAGAGCGGAGGGAATAATAATAATAATAATAATAATTCTTGCATTTGATATAGTGCTTTTCACGTCGGGAGGACGTCCCAAAGCGCTTCACAGAACACACTGTAAAGTGAATTGACTGTATATTTGTGGGCGAACGCGGCAGCCAATTGGGCACATCAATGTCCCACAAATAGTCGTGGTTTGAAAATGACCAATTTATTACTGTTTTTGGTTTTGGAGGGATTATTATTAGGCTCTGTGTGGAGTAATAATAATAATAATAATAATAATCCTTGCATTTGATATAGCGCTTTTCACGTCGGGAGGACGTCCCAAAGCGCTTCACAGAATATACTGTAAAGTGAATTGACTGTATATTTTGTGGGCGAACGCGGCAGCCAATTGCGCACAGCAATGTCCCACAAACAGTCGTAGATTGAAAATGACCAATTTATTATTGTTTTTGGGTTTTGGAGGGATTATTATTAGGCGTGTGGAGTAAGGAAACTTGCCCAAGGTTTCGCCCTCTGCCTGGAATTGAACTCAGGTCTCTCACTTGCAAAGCGAGTGCTCTAACCACTGAGCTACAGGATTCCTGGACAGGTTGGTGAAGTTTCAATTGGTTGCAGAGGTAGAGAGGAGGAAGACGTGCAGAGTTTTAAACATAAGCAGTGAGGAAATCAAAGAGAAGAGACAACAACAAATTACATTTGTATAGCACCTTTTATGTCGGGTGGACATCCCAAGGTGCTGGTCGGTCAGGGATTTGGATCCGAGCAGGGGGTTGGGATAAGGAGGGTGGAGGGTAGGTGTAGGAGGGCTGACAAAGGCGCGCTCAAAGAGGACGGCCTTGAGACGTGCCTTGAAGGGAGCAAGGGAGGAGCAAGATCTTACTAAACGTCAGCACACATTCTGGAATCCGCAAGCCATGGTTCTCGCCAACCTGTGTCTAATAATAATAATCCTTGCATCCTTGTGGAGTCCTGTAGCTCAGTGGTTGAGCACTCGCTTTGCAAGCTAGAGACCTGAGTTCAATTCCAGGCAGAGGGCCAAACCTTGGGCAAGTTTCCTTACTCCACACAGAGCCTAATAATAATCCCTCCAAAACCAAAAACAGTAATAAATTGGTCATTTTCAAACCACGACTATTTGTGGGACATTGATGTGCCCAATTGGCTGCCGCGTTCGCCCACAAATATACAGTCAATTCACTTTATAGTGTGTTCTGTGAAGCGCTTTGGGACGTCCTCCCAACGTGAAAAGCGCTATATCAAATGCGAGGATTATTATTATTATTATTATTAGATATGGCACCTTATCACTTAATTGAGACATCTCAAAGCACTTCATAGAATATACTGCGTATAATTGATTGTATATTTTATGGGAGAAATTTGGCAGCAGTTGCACACAGCAGTGTCCCAAAAATAGTTGTGGATTGATAGACCAATTTATTGTTATTATTTTGCTTTGAAGGGATTATTACCCCGGAAAAGCGATCCGCAATCGACTAACAACCGGGTTCCTCCTTACTGCTAGGTATATCAGGGAAATAGAGGAACAACGTCCTCAATCGTATCAGAAGATGCCAAAGCATTAATTGCTGATGGTTTTGAACAATTCTCTCTAAACTGTTAAGAGCTTTGAGACCAATTTGACAAACCCATTACCTAGGGAAGCCACGGTTCTGTGAGAGAGATCACTGGGTTTTGATCATATGATGGAACAACATTCAAAGTGGTAATAAAAAGAGAATTACAAACTAATCATGCTCATTTATTATACCGACAGGACTGTGTTTACTGATATCTATGCTTGGCTGGTGTAATCAGCAATATATTGTAAAGTGTATTGACTGCGTATTTTATGGATGAAACACGGCAGCCAGATGAACACAGCAATGTCCCACAAACAGGTATGGAGTGAGTAACTGATTTTATTTGGGGGATTTTGGCAAAGATACCAAGAGAAAGCCCTGAAAAAAATACTCTGGAATTAGTGTTCCTCCAGTGTGAGGGTGCACATTTCATTCAGGACACAGAGAAATGTCCACATGGAGATAATACTGTATACATATGCAGAACTCTCAGTCTGGTTTGGATATGGATACTCTAAAGCATATGTCAGACACCACGCTGTCCAAAGAAAATCCAGCACAACATCAGTCAATGGAAATGTCTTATTAAAGCAGCCCATAAGAAATGGTGCAAATTAGACACCGCATCATAAAATGAAGAATCAGCGGGGTCTGAATCCACATGCTCAGACTGGATCGCTCTGCTGTGTGGGCAAACTTCATTTGTGTTTCTTTTATAATTAGACCCACAAGCCCGAGAGGCCAGTCAGAGGCCGGGCTGTGCTCCAACCACACAGAAGAGGACAGATTGAGCTACAGTACAACTTGGCTCTTCTGAGAGAGATACATTGTCCTCACTTACCTACAGACAGGTTACATGCTGCAAGCTGTCAGCCCGTGTGAGATCATCCTCACACCATGCAGACTTACTCTCCCCCCCAGCCTGCCTGAAGACATTCTTTTTCCACTGCTCTTTTGGTCAACTCCCCACTCCTTCCCCCACCCCTCCTTCAACACTCCCCCGCGACCTTCCCCACCCCTCCACACACACACACACACACACACTGCTCAGGCTCACACATGAAAAGAGCTGTACAAATAATATAAATTGATGTTACTGAACTCCCTGCTCTCCCCCCTCCGTCAATCTTCAAGACCTGCTTAAAATCGACATCTTGCCCAAACTGATGACCACCAACCCCCAAGCCCCCACCCCCTCCCTACTCTGTTGGCCGGCCTTGTGAAGTGCTCTGAGACATTATCCCATTTAAAGGGACTGGGACACAACCCTGTGTGAAGAGGCGCTATATAAATGCAAGTTGTTGCTGTTCAATGAGAACAGATACCAAGAGAGTATCCTGCCTTCGTTTCTCCGGGTCTGGCCTCCTCCTCGTCCCCCGAGTCCTCCACTCCACACCCCCCGACCTCTCTGACCTCCTCTCTCCTCAAAACAGTACCAATTGCCTTCATTCCTCTGGGTCTGGCCTCCCCCTCGTCCCCCTCGTCCCCGCTCAACTCTCGGCGGCTGTGCCTTCAGCCACTATACCCCGAGGCTCTGGAACTGCCTTCCTCACTCCCTTCGTCTCACTCCCTCCCTTCCTACTTTCAGGCCTCTGCTGAAGACCTTTCTTTTCGACCGCGCCCTTGGTCACCTTCCACCCCCACCACCCCGGCCCCTCTCCCCCTCCACCTGGCTCCTCCCCCTCCCCCTGGCTCCTCCCCTCCCCTGGCTCCTCCCCCTCCCCTTGGCTCGGCCCCGGGATCCATTACTATGAAGCGCTCTGAGACACCATCCAGCGTGAAGGGCACTACATAAATCCAAGTTGTTGCTGTTGTTGAGAGTGTGGCAGGACCCACAAAGTATGGGGTGTTTGGATTGGAGTAGCTCAGCTGAGAGATTAAAGCAGTGCAGAAAGTGGATAATAAATGTGAAATGTGAAGCATTTGGCCATCAATGTAAGAAACAAACCGTTGTCTCTGCTGTCTCCTAGTGGATCAGATTGCTTACTTTTTGAAAAAATCCTTTAATTTGGTATAGCACCTTTTTACATGGTGAGGACGTCTCAAAGCACTTCACAGGATATACTGTAAAGTGTAGTGACTGTTTCTTTTGTAGGAAAATGTGTTACAGGCCTGTGCCCTGTACGGATTCTCAGTGTAACTTTATCCGTGTTTGGAGCACTCACACACCCACAGTGGCCACTGTATCCCTATACATAGAAATTCCCGTGACTGGAATAGTATGCGCACTCTTTCCTTGGAGAACACAATTTCAGAGAGTTTTACAACAACAAGATCTTGCATTTATATAGCATCCCTCATTTGGGGTCTTGGAGCACTTAAAGCTATTTATAAACTTTAAGCGGAACTGTAAGTACAAGTCGACAAGATCCAAGGCTTGGGGACCCCAGAGCGTGTGTGGGGTAACTGCTAAAGTCTGACCAGCTAAAACTACAAGGTATAAACACAAGGTCAGATTGTGGGAGGAAGAATAGAGGACCAGATAGGACGAGAGCGGGTCATTCACGCATACACTGTGACTCACCTTGAGGAACTCCAGGAACGCTGGCTTGGTCAGGCAGGCCTTCTTAATCAGCGCCATGGCATTGGTGAAGTTATTCACATAGTCGCTGTACACGTCCAACACCATAGACTTCGAGAACTAAAAGGAAAAGGAATAAATTGACAACTTGCGGGTCACCCTGGCTCAGCCGCTCGCACTCTCACCTCTGGATCAGAAGATTGTGGGTTCAATCTCCACATCGGGGATTTTTAGCTCACAGTCTAGGCTAACTCTCCCGTGCAGTGATGGGGTGGGGGGAGAGCGCTGGGCGCTGGGAGACAAGGGGTGGGAATGGTGGTTAGTCCCAAACTGGTCGATAATTAACAAAAAAACAGACAAACACCATTTGTTTAGTGCCTTTCATCTTGGGAGAATGTCCCAATGCACTGAACAGTCGAGGGTTTGCACCCAAACTGGGGGTTGGACATAGGAGTGGGGGTGGGAAAATGATCGAAGCCAAAGAGCAAGATCTTGATATCAATCTTGAAGGATGTTCGAGAAGGGATGAGGTGAAGAGATTCCGGCATGGAGTTCCAGAGGGTGAGAGGAGAGAGGTTCAAGGCCTGACCGCCAATGGTGGGGTGGGCAGGGCAGGGACGTAAAGCAGGCCAGTTAAGGATGGCTTTGGAATGTGCTTTTTCCCACGAGCACAAATGTTAAAATGTTGGGTTTTTCCAGTTGGAACACCAAGCTGCCAGGACGGGAGCACAAGCCCATCACCTGGGATTGGATTCACTGCTGCTCGATGGAAGGTAGATGGAGACGAGGTCAGCACTTACTGAAGCAACAAAGAGGTCACCGATCTTCTCCGTGGCATCCCACTCAGCGACCCGAGAGGCCAGGGCGATCTGGAACATGCAATGACACTGAAGAACTTCCCTCAGCCGGTAGAAGACCATCCGTACCTTCCTGACGCTTAGCAGCCTGGGCTCTGTCTCCAGGAGAGGCTTCTTGTACTCCTGAGAACGGCACGCAAAGGAGAGGTCAGTGAACGAGCAAGAGAGAAAGAGCGAGAGAGAGACAGGAACCTTTCCTCCTGGACAACACAGACCCATCACTTCACTGACTGCTCAGCTCAACACACAGCGCGCTCATGACTATGGGTCAAAAGGGAGAAGGGAGTTTCTCTCTCTCTCCCGGTTTCACGGCCAACAATCCCCCAAATAAAAAAAATTGGTCACTCACTGCATGGCCTTTTTGTGGGACACATCTGTGCGCAATTGGCTACCACGATTTGCCCACAAAATACACAATCAATCCACTTTACAACATATCCAGTGAAGCACTGTAAGACATCTCAACAACGTGATAAGGCGCTTTATCAAATGCCAGGATTATTATGTTAAGGCAGTGGGTTCAAGCCCCATGTTGGGAGCTCAGACACTCCGGGTCAGGGCTGGGAGTGCTGACGTGACATCCAAAGGATGAGACATTAAATCGAGCCCCCATGCGTCAGTTCCCAAAAAGCAGACTCAATTGAGATGTTCAATAATAATCCTTCCAATTGATTCAGCACCTCTCACATCTAGAGGACATCTCAAAGCATTTCACAGGATTTACTGTAAAGTGAAGGTTGCATTCTGTGGGTGAATGCAGCAGTGAATTTGCAACATCCCGCAAACAGCCATGAAGTGAGTGACCAATTTTATCTGGGGGATTGTTGGCCAGGAGACAAGGAGAAACTTCTCGATTCCATACTATCGTGAATCTTTAATATCCACCTGAACAAGCACAGACAGGACTTAACTTTAATATCTCATCTGAAGAATGGTTTTAAGGCAAAAACATCTGCGATAATCAATAAACCACTTTAACACGCTCAATGGCTGACTTGCCTCCTCTTGTTTCTAGTTACAAACCCCTCCCCGGCTCTGTGTAATTTACGTTGCATTGTACAGAGCTTCTTTACTCAACCAGAGCTTCCTTCACATAGGATAGTGTCTCAGAGTGGTGCAAAATTACTACCTTCCCCATTTCCGCTCCCAATTCCTGGACTCTTACCTGCATGATGCGTTTCAAAGAATCAACATAGCTCCTCTCACTGTGCACGATGGAGTTCATGATGTGACGACGCACTATCTATAGGACACAACAAAGCGTTCACGAGATGTCGCAACTCAGCAACAGTCACACAAACCACAACCGAAGCCCTGACTCAGGGGGTGAAAAGGTGACTCGATCGAGGTGGTCAAGATAAAGGTGATGATAGGGTTAATACCAAGTTTCCCCCGAGTCAGTCATGAGAGGCACAGATTTAAGAATCACAAAGGGAGTTAAAGGGAAGGTTAAGAAACTAGGTCTTCACAGAGTGGTGGGAACATGGAATTCTCTGCTCCAAAAACTTAAAGAATCCATCAATTAATTTAAAGGGAATCAGAAAGTTGCTGGAGGAGGAGGAGGAGGAGGAATATTAAAGGGTGAAGGGCAGCAAATAGGAGAGTGGGATTGGATTGGGTGGTGGGGAATAGCTGGAAAAATACATTGGATCCATCTCATTGTATTTTCCACTTGATTATTTCTGAACGGAAGGAAACCCAGTGTCCACCTTGCACTCAGTGTCCCCGCTCCCCCCAGTGCCCCGCCCCTCCCTCCAGTGCCCGCCCCTCCCTCCAGTGCCACCCCCTCCCTCCAGTGCCACCCCGCTCCCTCCAGTGCCACCCCCTCCCTCCAGTACCACCCCCCTCCCTCTAGTGCCACCCCCCTCCCTCCACCCCTCTCCCTCCAGTGCCACCCCCCTCCCTCGAGGATAGCCCCTGACCTGCTGGGGAGAGAGCCCTGGGGGCATGGGACTGAGCTCTGGTGGAGGGTGCTTTGATTCCGACACATTGACATCCAGATACCCGGCGTTATCCTCTTCAAACTGATCTGTAGGAAAATGTGGATCAAACATCCATCAGATAGTTCAAACATCCACCACCTTTAAGACACTCAATGTGATTGTTAATACATGTTCCACTTGTGTTGAGCTTCACATCCCCCTTTTTCTGTCACATCCACCTCCATATCCCTTAACCCCATCCAGCTCCGCACTCCCCTAACTCCCACCATCTAACCTCCAAGTGTCCCAGGGGATCAGCTTCAACTCATCCTGACTTTAAAAAAAACCTTACATTCTTTCTCTCTCCCTCTTCCTCCATTTCCCCCCCACCCCCCCACCCCGCAATGTCCTCCAGCCCTACTCTGCTGACTGACGCATTCCAACTGGTCTGTCTAATGCTCGTTGCACACTTGCCAAGTCTTCAGCCACTCTCTGGAGTCTGGAGCTTCCTCACACCCTATCTTTCAAACTACCCTAAAAGCACACAGCTCCACGCTTTTGGTCAACGCCATTAAAATCTCCCTCATCTGGTCCGGGCCCCGTCAACCCTAAGGCTCCCGAGAGGTAGAGAGAGACAAGTGTAAAGAGAGCCGGTGTCCAGGGCTGCTCAGGCTGGTTACACGCAGTACCTTGTGAGTCTCTCTTTTGAAGGAAGGATACCTTCTTCATTACTGCAAGTTTTGTCTTCTCCAGACCGTCTTTAGTTCCGTTCTTAGCCGCCTTCATTAGCTGCTGCATCTATAACAATAATAATCCTTGCATTTGATACGGCGCCTTGTCGCATCTTCGAGACGTCTCAAAGCGCTTCACAGTATATACTGTAAAGTGAATTGACTGTGTATTTTGTGGGAGTGAAGAGCAAGGAAAGAGAAGACCCCCTTCAGATTTGTGTCAGAACTGGGATTCTTCGTGCTGAGAAACAGACATTTAGAGGCTGTACGTTTACAACATTATAATCCTGCCTCTAACAGTTCTGACATTCACTCAATGAGAACATTTCAAGGCAAAATTACCTATTTTTTTATTTTTAAATAATTAATTATTTTTTTAAAAAATGGAAGGTCATCAAGGGGAAGAAATTTGGAAATTGAACCCTTTTACTCATTCAACAACTCAGGGTGACCATCCACAATCCCAGGTCAAGGGTTAGAGACAGAATATAGCTCCCTCTAGACTGTCCGTCCGCACTCCCAGATCAGCTACAGCACGTGTTAGAGACAGAGTAACGAGATAAAGTTAGGTGTCATCGACAGACATGTGAACATTAATCCCATTCCTGCAGATGGCGTCACTGAGCAGAGCATGTAAATATTAAAGAGGAGAGAACCAAGGACAGAGCCCTGAGGAACACCACACATGATGGATGATATGGGGGCTGGAGGAGAAGCTGTTGGCAGATACAAAGTGGAGACGATGGGAAAGTCAAGAATGAAACAAGACTGGGACAGAACCGTGAAGATGGAGCTGAGAGGAAAGGTCAAGAGAGGGTCGAAAGAGCAGGTTGTGGGCTTCATTTGGGAAATGCTAGAAGAGAGAGGGAGAGATGGGGTTGAAAGTGTAGAGAGAGGGAGGGACGGGGGGAGGGAGGCCAGAAGGGGAAGTGGAGGTGGGGATGGGGTGCCAGTAACTAGGGCAGAGGCAGCTCTCATTTTTGGACCAAGGAAGTCCATCACCTCCTCTCATTTAGAGTTGGAAGAGTGAATGGGAAGCACCGAATGATGGATGAAGAAGCTGGTTTGTGGTGCAAAAAAGGAGCATAGGGTTGTCTTTGGCCTCCAGGATGATCCTGGAGTGTAAGGACGATTTGACTGAGGTGAGGGGGGAGTGGATTAGACACACTTCTAAATCAACTACAGAACAGTTTAGAGACAGAGTACAGCTCCCCTACCCTGTTCATCCAACCCCACCCCTCTTAGATCAGTGAGAGCCCCGGGGATCCCTCCGCACATTGTCCCAACAACGTGTGATGATCCAACAAGTGTTTTGTATCGCCACCAGTGACAGGTTCCTCAGCAGTCGCCCATGACATCACTGAGCGAGACCCTGCCAATTCCGTGATTAAAACAGAAAGTAGGTCTGTGCTGTGAGCCCACACCCCCCCCAGGAACTAAAATAACCAAATAGGTTATCGGATACGGGAATGCAAATCACAAACTGCTTCACAGTTGTATTAATATTTAAATGTAAAATGTAAATTAAATTTAAATTTAATTTGAATGTAAAAATCCTGGATTTGAAGGCAAACACGATGGCCATTTTGCAAACGGCGAGGTCCTGCCTGCAAAAAGCCAGGAGCTTGAATGAGCGATTAATGCTGAGGATTATTGACCATCACGTTTATCACAGGATCGTTACTGGCATTCACCTGAATAACAGGCCGAAGAGTTCTCAATAGTAAGGTCCCACCTGAAGGATGAGGATTCTGAGTGAGAATCAACGCCCTGCTTCAGGGAGCTCCGTCTGAGCCCAGAGCAAAGTACCCACTAGTAGGACGAGAGTACGCATCCAGACCCCTTTCTGTTCTTGGCAAATAGTTTTAGACTTTAGTGAAACTATAAACTCACTCACTGAAACCCTCCTAATATCCCTCACCTTTTCCATTTTCTGTCCTCTTTCAAAACTCTTCTAAAATGTTTCTATCTTTGACTACGTCTTTGATCACCTTTCATTCCCCCACTCCCGCCCCCCAAAAAACCATCTCTAACCCAATTTAGGGTTCCACTCAATCTTTGTGATGTAATTTGAGACCTATTTGACCTATTTCTTGTTGAGCAAGACCTAAATAAATTTCACATCTGTCAATAATTATTACTGTAAATGTAATATATTTTGCTGTAGTTAATGGTTTGCTAGTTTACATTTACTTACTGTATTTGAAAAATTTTCTAAAGCGTTTCTAAAAACATCTTTTGTGAATTGGGCTCAGTCACAGTTCAACAACAACTTCCATTTATATAGCGCCCTTATCGTGGGGTATAGTCCCAGAGCTCAGACACCCCCCGCACTGGCTGAAAATTCCCCATCCTGAGGGACAGCAGGTTACATCCACACAGAGACACACACATCAGATATTAGGTCACACAGACCGCACACAGGCTATTAGTGGATGGATTACCAGCCATTACAAGTGAGAGAACACATTTTAGGGTACAAACGACATCATGGATCATGCAAATCATCAGCCAAATGCCATTCTCCTCACCCACAATCCCCCCCATTTTGTTTTGTCCTACAGCCAATCGCTGCAGCCATCAATGCTCCTGTCCAGTGAATCCCAGAGTTTCAGCTCTGGTTTGGGAAATATCAGCATGACAGCATTTGGTGTTCTTCATAATCCATAAAACAGCCTCAACAATAAAACATCTCAATGTTTGATAAAACATCTCAAAGTGCTTTACGAATAATTACTGTGAAGAGTAGTGACTGTCTATTTGTAGACAAACATAGCAGCTCATAGAAGTGCCCACTGTGAGATCTCACCAAAAGTCACAAAGTGGATGGGCTTTTCTTATCAACCTTAGGGAACATCAGCCAGGAACACCAGGATAAACATCCTTCTCTTTTCCAATAAGATCATAGGTATTTAATGTTCAAGCACAGACGGAGCCTCGGTTTAACTTCCTCTGACAATGCAACAGACTCTCCCCCCCACGCCCCCACCCTTTCCCCGCAGCCCACCAGCACTGGCCTGAGTATCAGCCTAGAATGTGATTTCAAAGCCCCAATATGACAGTGAACCCTCAACCTTTTGACCCACAAAAGAGGTTACGACCTATTGAGCCAAAGTGACGATGGGTCCAGGGATTAAAATGCACCATTTTCTAACACAGTATCGGAAGGAGGCATCTGAATCCGCAGAGTCTATTCTGACATTTTGTTGATTGTAATAGAATACCCACAACTTTGCCCTCTATATTCCTTCATGGTCTTACTTCTCAAGTTTGAACATCCCGATCACATCTACACCTACAGCTTTCGGGGGCACTGCACTTCCATTCTCACTACCTGAATTACAGCAGACTTTCAATACTACACTTATACCATTATAAACCAGGGAGGAAAAAAATAATATAATAATCCCTGCATTTGGTATAGTGCCTTTCACATCAGGAGAGTGTTTCAAAGCATAAGGTGTAGTGACTATGTACTTTCTGGGGATCAGAGCAGCCATTTTTAACACAGCAAGATCCCACAAACAGCTATGACGTGAAGTTACCGCTGCCTGTGGACCCACTGAGACCAAGGTTGGGTTACAATCCAGTCAACACAGTCCAGGCCTGACCCTAGGAACCTCTACTCACTAGGATTTTTTTTACAAAATCACCTGAGCGATGGGACGAGGGGAGGGGCAGGAATCTTGGATTTCATTTTAATATTAGGGTGAAAAATACAATGCTTAATTACTGATTTGATGATTTTGGAACCAGTTACCAAATCCGTGATGAAAAGTCACATTTTTCTACCGATTCTTGAAGACTGTCTGCAGGTGTAAGGTATGTCTCCCCCCACCTGACCATCACAATGGTTGGGTCTGAAGCCAGTTCATTGCTGCCAACTTGGATTCCTGCTCCTCTTGTTTCCGAGCCTGGAGTAGGTGTCAGAGGCACTCCCTGGGATCTGGTGAATTGGGGCTGGAATCACAATAGCAGCCACTGAACTCTTTGGGCCCAACCACTGTATTAAAGTTGTGTGTGGGTGGGGATGTGAGGGAGAGACGAAGGGGGGAATTTCACACTTTGCAGCCAAGTCTTTAGGAACAGATGGAAAAAAGGTGATATGTCATAGCACGACTGATTGATAAATAAATCATCATACTTGGCATTTCCAACCTGTACAGTTAGCATGCCTCATCCTACTGCAACGTCTACTGCGGGATGGCTCTGTAACCAGATAGAAGGAGAAAGCGGGAGAGGTACCTTGCAGTCATATCGCTGTTTCAGCTCCTGAACATCTTTGCTCCCGACTTTTATGGCCAGGAATTCTCTTTTAGTCCTGGCATACTTCTCCTTCAGCCTATTCAGATCCGGGGAAGGCTGAGCGGCAACCGAGAGTAGGAGGAAGAGCATAGGAAAGAGAAGTAAAGACGGGTGGCAGTGGAGAAGGACAGAACTACACAAGAGTTAGTTAGTTAGTCAGTTAGTGACTGGTATGAAACTGGTATGTTTTAGTATGTTTACTGCTCGACATCTACAGGCCCAGAATTCCACCTAGCCTGTAAGATCACATTGTCTGAAAATTCTTAAAATAGTTCCTCACTGTTGAATATTCTTTCATTTGGTGTTAATTTCGAACTGCAGAAAACTATCTTCAAATTAAGAATTTTCCACAATTCTGCTCAATCTTAGACTATATTTGAAGGCAACATGTAAAGGCTAAGACCGAGTGGAATTGTGAGCCTTAGCAACAGGAAATGAGATCAGCAAGCAGGAAGTTACAACATTCGGGCAAGAGCAGGCAATTTTCAGAGCCAGGGACACAGCCAAGCAAGATTACACAAGACTTGTGCAGGCAATGTCACATGCTCCATGGAACCAGAAAGAACTAATCAACAAGAAAGGCATCCAGCAATTTGCATTCACACAACTTCTTTTCGCGCAAAATGAACGTCTCGAACCACTTCGCAAAGTTAATGGAGATCACGAAGCCAGGGGTGAGGCGGGAAAGGGTAGGGGTTGGTGGCTGAATGTGATGGTTTTGACCAAAGTCAGGGAGATTTGTTACAAGAGTTTTGAAGCTAGGGTGGTAGGGATTTTAGAAAAGAATGCTGGGGAGTGGGGCATTAGTGGCTGGAGGCTCAGCCACCAATGGTGGGATGGAGGAGATGCGTAGTGGATCAGAGTCTGGACAAGGCTTGAGCATCTGCCTTTCCCAGTCTCTCCACGATGACTCATTCACAGAACAGATTACAGGGAAGCAAATCTTGAGTATTGAAACCACGAGTGTGTGTCACAACTTTAAAATAATCATTCTTCCATTTGATACAGTGCCCTATCACATTATCGAGATGGTTCAAAGTGCTTCACGGGATTTACTGTAAAATGTAGTGACCATGGATTTGCGGGTGAATGTGGCAGTTAATTTGCACATCTGCAAATTAATTTGCATATCTGCAAATTAATTTGCAAACAGCCATGAAGTGAGTGACCAATTTTATCCAAGGGATGGTTGGCCAGGGCACCAAGAGAAACTCCCTTCTCTTTTCAAATAGTGCAAGGGATCTTTAACGTCCATCTGAACAGGACCACGGTTTAACGTCTCATCCATAGGATGGCACCTCCAACAATGCAGCGAACCCAAAACACTGCATCAGACTACACAAGTTCCTCCGAGCTTTGCCTCTTGCCAACATGTGCCGAATACTCTCTCTGGAGTTGGGCAAGCAAGGTGTGTGCCTACAGGGAAATTTCCATGTGTGGGTGGAACTCTCAATACAGTCAGAACCCATTGAACAGTTAACGCAGATCAGGTCTGGATAAACCGCGGGCACCGTGGATCTACAGGAAACAGAGCGGTGGCTGACCATTGGCATCCAACACTCTGCCCATGGTCAGAGGCTCCCGGTATCAACGGTGATCCCAGTTCCTGCAGGAGGGAAAACTTCCTCGGTGATCAGCCCACACACGCAGGTTCAGTGACAACCTGACACACGGAAGTGATGACCAGTGGCCACCCTATAACGCAATCCGTTATAACGTGCGGCCTGTTCTACAATCCCCTCCTCCCCCCAAACCAGCATATTATAACAGGATCCAACTGCAGTGTGGTTTGGAGACTTAAGCATGGTGGTGGGTGTGTCAGATACTCAGCTGACCAAATAAAAAGCTGGATTTTTCACCACATCATTTTCCATTAACCAATGTAATTATATTTTAATAATAATAATTATTAATATTATTAATTACACTTTTGGGATGAAGCTTAAAATAATTCATCCTTCACTTCTAATTTTCGCAATTCACTTCCTTCTTCCAGCTCTATTTCTTACTGTCTCACTTCCGCTTTCTGAACCCTCGTTTCTTTTCTCCAACAACACATGCTTTTCTTTCTTTAGGTTCTCTCATCCCCTCTCCCACCTTTTGTCCATCATTACAAACCACAGGAGCAATGAGAAGGATCCCCAGTGTTAGTGATAATAATAATAATCCTTGCATTTAATACAGCTCCTTATCACATCTTTGAGACGTCTCAAAGCGCTTCACAGGATATATTGTAAAGTGAATTGACTGTATATTTTGTGGATGAAACATGACAGCCAATTGCACATAGCAGTGTCCCACAAACAGTCGTGGATTGAAATGATCAAATTGTTATTTTTTTTTGAAGGAATTATTACCCCCGGAAAAGCAATCCGCCAATCGACTGAGAACCGGGTTCCTACTTACTACCAGGTAACAGTGGAATGCGAGTAAGGAAACTTACTTTTTGCCCTGCTGGGAATCGAACCCAGGTCACTCACTTGCAAGGCGAATATTCTAACCACTGAGCTACAGGACTCCATATGAGGAATGATTAGACAAGCTTGGCTCATCAGTCTTGAGAAGAGACATCTCAGAGGAAACTTGCAGAGATGTAGAAGAATGCGATTGAGAAAATCAACCCAAAAGATTACCTTCACAGACAAGGCAGCAGGACAAGAGGGCACAGGATCAGGGTGTGAAGGGCAATTTGCGGACAGACACCAGGAAGCATTTTTTTTCACACAAAGGGGAATTAATAACTGGAATGGGGTTACCAGGATAGGGGGTAGAGACTGGAACATTGCATTCATTTAAGAAACAGCTCAGGCCTGTGCTTGCCAAGCAGAGGAAGCAGATCACAGAGGCAGGGAGGGGCAAGACCATGGAGAGCAAGACATGGAGGGCTTTAAAAGATAGGACGAGGATCTTAAACTCGATCCTCTGGGGAATGGGGAGCATCTGGAGTCGGGCGAGGATGGGGGTGATAGGTTCACAGAGCTTGATGCAGGAGAGGCCACAAGCTTCAGAGTTCTGAATAATCTGCCCTTTATGGAGTGAAGAGTTGGGAAATCCAGCGATCAGGGAGTTAAGAAAGGATGGGTCTTTGAAGAAAGGAAGAGAGGCAACAAGGAGCAGGGAATTTGGAAGACGTCCAGTGGATAAGAGCACGATACACCCAAATTATAATTGGTCTCCTCAAAGTTCTCCCATCTCAGAACTTTGATAGACCACGTGCACCCAAAACCCCACCATTAAGAACAATAATAGAAGCTTGACGTTTCACCAATATATAACCTGCCAGTTGAGGAGGTTAAAATAATAATCCTTCATTTGATACAGCGCCTTATCATGTCTTTGAGACTTCTCAAAGCGCTTCACAGAATATACTGTAAAGTGAATTGACTGTATATTTTGTCTGCGAAATGCGGCAGCCAATTGTGCACAGCAGTATCCCATGAATTTAGTGACCAACAGTCATAAATTTAGTGACCGATTTATTATTATATCTTTTGGAAGGAATTATTACCCCCGGAAAAGCGATCCGCCAATCGACTAACAACCAGGTTCCTACTTACTGCTAGGTAAACAGAGGGGTGTGGAGTAAGGAAACTTACCCAATGTTTCGCCCTGCCGGGAATCAAACCCAAGTCTCTCGCTTGCGAGGTGAGTCCTCTAACCACTGAGATACAGGACTCCACATCACACAAAGGGACTGTTTTTTGTAAGATCCTTACCTCCAGATCACTCACCTTGGGCTGAAGAATGGCTTTGCTTTTTTGCTGCCCTCCCGAGGATTTATTCTCTTCATCTGAGTGCTCGTCATAGCTCTCAAATTCGCTGGAACTCCATCCATCCTCAGTCCTAACCGGGCTCATGCACTCACCTTCCCCATGCACATGATCATAGATCAGCTCCTCTAGAGGCACTGTCCAAGAGAGGGGAACAGGAGCATCCTGTAACTCAGCCATTCATCTACATAATAGTAATAATAATCCTTGCATTTGATATATCGCCTCATCATGTCTCAAAGCATGAATGTACTGTAAAGTGAAGTGTTTGCATTTTGTAGACAAAATGCATCCATCACTTTGACCCAAAGCTCAGCGTGAGTTGGTATAAATTGAGGATTAAACCCAGAGTTTAACAGGAGACTTGAGAAGAATGGAATCATTTATAATCCAGTCATTAATTTTACTGGAACGCTACCCGCTTGAAGGCCGCTATATAAATGCAAGTTGTTGTTGAATACAGATCCGATACAATCAGTAAAGTGCTCCTGCTGATGAACCCCAGGCCTGATGGCACAAAGGTTTCCTCCAAATAATGTCAAAAGGAGGGCAGGCAGAAGATTTGATCATTATCTCATCCAAAGGGCGGCACCTCCCACTCCACCCCCCACCCGCAGCCCCCACCACTGTGCTGGAGTGTCAGCCTGGACTGTGAACTGACGCTGGGGCTTGAAATCACAAACTTTTGACCCAGAGGCAAGATTGGAGCTGATCTCTCTCTGTCAGAGAGAGAGGGGGGGGAATGACAGTAACCTATGAAAGACAAGCAGTTAGCTAGTAACATATACAAAACAAAGTCTCTGTGAGCAGCAACTTACACTGGATTTTTTGATCAGTCTCTTCAGCCACGTCATCGTAGATTACATCCTCTTCTGCATCAGGCGCAATCAGCTGGGCTGAGGCTGACTGAGCTGAAATAGGACAGAAAATAAACTCCTAATTAAAAAATTCCACAAGGCCTAACACTGCCATGTGCACTCTAACCCAAGGTTAGTGTCCCTGAACTGCTAATGTCAGACACATCTGCTCAAGCTCAGGACACCAAGCGTAGAACATGACAGCACTGGATGAGGCTGATCCAGGGGATATAATATTAGATGGAGAGATAGAGACACACACCTACATTGATATACAGATAAGAGGGGAGAGATGCATACATACACACAAATACAATTGGAGGGGCAGAAGAGAGCAAGAGGGAGACATACACACACAAAAATACATTATCAACAATATTTTCAGATCTACAATAAGGCTGGTCCAAATTTGTGTAGATATCAGGTGGATCAAGGGTGATTGAATCACTGAAGTGAAGATCCACATAAAAAGGATTTTCTGTTAATTGGAAAGCGACAAGTACCAGAAAATAAGGGATTGAATCCAATTTCTGTTATTTGAGGGGTAAGGGGAAGAGAAAAGAGAAAAAAATACCAATTTATCAGGAAAGGAAACTGAAAGAGAGAACAGGCTTGAGAGAAAAGCCCTTGATCCTGGGGTTAGAAACCAAAAGTCCAACTGAACAAACACAGCAACAGGAAATCAAGCTAAAGCCATCAGTACCAAGAACCAGGCAGCAGCAGCACTTCATTAGAGACCACATCAAAATAAAAACTCTTGAGGCAAAAAAAAATTAAGAAGGAAAGATTGGGAAGGCCTTAAATAGGCCCAGGTGAAAGAAATAACAAGCCATTTGGAGCTGAACAAATCACAGCTGAGTAGAGTGGATAATCATCACCAAACCCAACTGTACATGACAACCATTAAAGTAAATTTCTAAACTTTTTTGGAAAAAAAATAGGGCGTTTCCACTCTGTGCTGGGGCAGCCATTTTCAATGTTGTGCTGCACATTTCTCTGAAGGAAATGTAAGCCCCCCCCTCCCCCCCACACCCCTTGAACATTTGCCAAAGTCTGGGTAAGAACGAGTTCGATTGATAATGCGTTTTCAGTTTTTTCTCGATTGATTTATGGCCTAAATCAAGAAATATTCAATCAAGAAAATTTTGTTTGTTGGCCGACCAAAACAGTTAGCCACCGGCGTTTCGGCCACTAATATACAGCCAATTCACTGTACAGCATATTCTGTGAAGTGCTTTGAGATATCTTAGAAGACGTGAAAAGTGCTATACCAAATGCAAGTATTATTATTATTATTGTTTTAAAACAGACTCACATAGACGAGTGCGAATGTTCCACAGGCCGTGTGTTGGCCACCACTGATATCAATACAAGTTGTTGTTATTCTTACGCTGCTCTCCCCTTGCCTGGTATCAGTTGCCATAAACACTTACTTACCCTGATGGTCAGTGCAGTAAAGTATAACAGAGATACCGAGTTGCAGCCTTGTCTCTCAGTGGACTCAAGAACTCTTTAATTTGGAAATCCAAACGTTTAAATCACTGATGCTTACACATCTGAAATGTATCCCAGAGTTTCTAATTGTGGGGCTCTTTGGCAAATTCCCCTAATTTTATTTTGGTAGCTGAGGGGAGCCTCAAAAAGGAAGTTAAGAGAGGAAGCAATTTCACAGATTTTTATAGGACAGCAATTGTATTTCTCTGAGGTTTAGATGTCAAAATTGTTTAACTGGCTAACAATCCAGCACAGGAACAGACGTCCCAGCCACCCAGAGTCTATGAGCCTCACCTGCGCCCCACACCTCTTAATGTGTCGCTCTTTGAGCACAGATTCTGAGGAGACGATGGTCTGTGACTGTGTGGATGTGACTATGTATGGATATGTGTGTATTTATGTGTGACTGTGTGTGTGTGAGAGAGGTGTGTGTATATTTGTGTGTTACTGTGAGTGTGTGTGGCCATGAGCGTATGTGACTATGTGTGAGGAATGTTTGTGTGGGATTGTGTTTGTTTTTGTGTGTGACTGTGCGTGTGTGACTGTGTGTGTGCCTGTGAGTGTATGTGCGTATGTGTATGTGTGTTGGCGGGGGGAATGTGCGTATGTGTGTGCAGGATGTGTGCATGACTATGTGTGTAAGACGTGTGTATGTTTGTGTGTAACTGAGGACCTGCCGGTTGGGACGGAGCTCATGCAGGAGCTCGTGGAGTCCTGTAGCTCAGTGGTTAGAGCACTCGCTTTGCAAGCGAGAGACCCGAGTTCAATTCCAGGCAGAGGGCGAAACCTTGGGCAAGTTTCCTTACTCCACACAGAGCCTAATATTAATCCCTCCAAAAACAAAAAACAATAATAAATCGGTCATTTTCAATCTACGACTGTTTGTGGGACATTGCTGTGCGCAATTGGCTGCCGCGTTCGCCCACATATATACAGTCAATTCACTTTACAGTATATTCTGTGAAGCGCTTTGGGACATCTAGAAGACGTGAAAAGCGCAATATCAAATGCAAGGATTATTATTATTATGCAGTAGTACATTACCACTGTACAGTGCGTTTTCCTTCCATGAGAGATCCTCGATTCCCATCTCACAGCTGCTGTTTGATTCATTACACTTGGCAGCAGGAGGAGTCCTGGAAACACAGGCAGAGAGGACAGCATTGAGGCCAGAGCACAGCACTGGGATCACCTCACACAACCAATATTATTATCCTCTACAAGAACATGTATTTACAGGCATCTTTCACATAGGATGAACATCTTGAAGCATCTCTGAGATGATGGGGATCAATGAGCAGTGAGAAGAGGAAGGAGAATTCAAAAATGTTGACTAAAGTTCCGGTCAAAGAGACGGAGTCAGGAAGAGAAGCCTCTGTCTAGCACAATACCTAATTTTTCATAAGATTTCATGACATTGCAAAATACGACTTCCCTCTCTTCACCCTCTGCAATTACATTTATATAACGCCTTTCACATTGTGATGACATCCCAAGGATTATCTCCCCTTCTTTCCCAAACATTCAGCCTCTTGCTGAGATACATTTCCCACACACTCAAGACCACAAGAGAGAGGTTTGCATGAAAAAGCTCTTTTGGCACATCCTTCCAGAATCCCCTCCCAACCTTCTTCCCATTACAGCCTCGAGCTGCTTCTTACATGAGTTCCCAGTGTCCCAGCCTCAACCACCCTTCCTGTTCCAGCTGCTAATTAGCACCTTGTGAGCCAGTGCTGCACGCACTCTCCCACACTCCTCACATTCACACACAGTTAAACACACTCCTCATACACTGAAACCCTCATTGTTCCCTTTCTTATAGGGATCCAGTCTCCCCACACACCCATCTCTCTCTCTCTCACAGGGAACATAAGACATCCTTTCAGGATCAGAGGTCATGTGCAGATATTTAGTAGTGTTACATAATGGAGACAAGATTAATTCCTTCTTATTCTCATTCTCCTGTGCAAAGAGAGGCAGATATTATATCCATTCAGTGCTATTGAACGATTATAAAGGGAAATCCCATTTAAGGCTGAGATCGCCAAAGACACACTGCCTGGATTTTATACCCACAGAATCAACACTCAGCCAACTAGTGGGCAATGTTAGTGTCTGGTTTAATCTTCAGTTGTTCTTACCAACCAACCAACCAACCAACCAACCAACCAACCAACCAACCAACCAACCAACCAACCAACCAACCAACCAACCAACCAACCAACCAACCAACCAACCAACCAACCAACCAACCAACCAACCAACCAACCAACCAACCAACCAACCAACCAACCAACCAACCAACCACCAACCAACCAACCACCAACCAACCAACCAACCAACCAACCAACCAACCAACCAACCAACCAACCAACCAACCAACCAACCAACCAACCAACCACCCAACCAACCAACAACCAACCAACCAACCAACCAACCAACCAACCAACCAACCAACCAACCAACCAACCAACCAACCAACCAACCAACCAACCAACCAACCAACCAACCAACCAACCAACCAACCAACCAACCAACCAACCAACCAACCAACCAACCAACCAACCAACCAACCAACCAACCAACCAACCAACCAACCAACCAACCAACCAACCAACCAACCAACCAACCAACCAACCACCAACCAACCAAACCAACCAACCAACCAACCAACCAACCAACCAACCAACCAACCAACCAACCAACCAACCAACCAACCAACCAACCAACCAACCAACCAACCAACCAACCAACCAACCAACCAACCAACCAACCAACCAACCAACCAACCAACCAACCAACCAACCAACCAACCAACCAACCAACCAACCAACCAACCAACCAACCAACCAACCAAACCAACCAACCAACCAACCAACCAACCAACCAACCAACCAACCAACCAACCAACCAACCAACCAACCAACCAACCAACCAACCAACCAACCAACCAACATTGATTTTCTTCACCTCTGCTGAATCACTCGCCTCTGCCCCTACCTCACATCATATGCTGCAAAACTCGTATTCACAGCTTTGTTACCTTCTGTTTGGGCTTTTCAAATGCACCCCTGGCTGGTCTCCACAGCTCCACCATCCATACCCTCCTGCTAATCCAAAACTGTGCCGCCAGCATCCTCACCTGCTCCAAACTCTGTACAACTATCACACCAGTCCTCGCCAGGCTCCACTGTGGATCAACTTCAAGGTCCTCACCCTCACCTATAAATCTCTTTGTGCCTTAACACCTCCTTATCTCTCTGATCTTCTCATACCCCACTCCCCTGCCTGTCCCCTCTGCTCGGCTAACTTGGATTTGCTGCGTGTCCTCGCTCTCCGAATCAGAAGGTTGTAAGTTTAAGATCCACATTGTGACTTTGAGCTTACAGTTCAAACTGACACTCCATTGAGGCACTATAAGGGAGCTCTGAATTGTGGGAGGTGCGTGCCATTGTTTGAATAATAGGTTAAACCGAGACTTCGTTTAGGTAGATTTTTTATGAGCATGTGACAGTTCTCCCAGTGTGCAAATCAATATTCCTTCTTCATCCAAATTAACTACAAAAGCAAATTAATTGATAAGTTCTTCTCTATGCTGAGAGTGGTATGTTTGAGATGTAGTTGATCTACAAATCACTATCCTTCCAAACAACTCAATATACAAAATACCTTGAGAGCTTTGAATGTAATAAGACAGATACAATTGGTATTTTGCTACAAAGAGAAACTTACCCTGAGGCTGAGCCCACAGCAGCCGAGTCTAAAGAGAAACAAAGCAAGTTTGAATATTAAGTGACTGAAAGATTTTATACAGTCCAGATAAATTATTATGGGGAAAAGGAATCTTGAAAAACACTGCTTGGATCTCACATAATGGGGCGAACAATGTGACGTTTCATAACAGATTGGATCTGATGATCATCACATGGAATCTTTGGAGATACATCAACATTTCAGGTGATTAAGGTCAACCGGTATCTGGTGAAGTAGGGAGTGAAATTCCACCTGAGTCTAAGCAAATTCTTATAATAATAATAATTCTGGCATTGATATAGTATCTTTAACATCAGGAGGATGTCTCAAAGCTCTTCACAGTATATACTGTTAAGTGATGTACTTGGCTGTGTAATTTGTAGGCAAATATAACGGCCAATTTACACACAACAATGACCCACAGGCAGCCATGAAGTGAACAACTCATTGGTGGCACCTCCAATAATTTGTCGAGCATCCCTCAGCACTGCACTGGCATATCAGCTTTGACCATGTGAATTCAAAGTCCTGACATGGGAAGGGAACTCAGAACCTTCTGACTCAAAGGTAAACGTACTACCCATTGAGCCAGGTGACAATAAATTACTTATTCCAGTACTTTTCAGAAGAAAAGCAAGTTGGAGATGTGGTAATTGGGGGAAAAGGGTGGGTTGAGGAAGGCTTTTTGAGAACACAGACAACAAAAATAACAACAACAAGATTCCATTTATAGAGCGCCTTTCACGTCGGGAGAACGTCCCAAGGCGCTGGACAGTTGGGTCAGGACTCGAGCATTGGGGGGAAATGGTCAGGGTGAGGGGAGGGAAGTGAGGGAGCGAGGAGGGGGTAGAGAGTCGAGAGGGGAGCTGAAGGCACGGTCAAAGAGAAAGGTTTTGGGACCGGCCTTGAAGGAGGAAAGGGAGGAAGCAAGGTAAAGGCACTGGGGGATGGAGTTCCAGAGCCTAGGGGCTGAGAGGCTGAAGGCTGAAGATGGTAGGGTGGTTGGGGCGGGGGATGTGGAGCAGACCGGAGCCAGACTGTACATCATTGAACTAGGCCGATGCTGGCAAGGACTAGTTGGGTCAAATTATGTTATAGCATTCAATCCCAGTTCCAAGTATATTTTTGCAGGATGAGTGCAACTGCACAGGGAGATATTTGAGGGATTTATTGGGCTCAACAAGATCAGTCAAATAGGAACTGGATAAGCACCTGAGCAGGGCAAATAATAAGGGATATTGGGAGAGAATTAGAGGATTAGTAACAAAGAACAACTTAGAAAAATAAGTTACATTAACACAGACATGATGATTGTGATTAAAGTGTCCTTGGTTTCTGACCTACCTGTGCTGGTTGAGTGAGCCATGGAGTCTGTGGAGGAAGTGGCACCATTCAAGCGAGAGATGGAGCTCAAGGTTTCCGCTGTGTGTGATAGTGGGAGTGGGTGGGAGTCTGATGGGACCACATTTTCCAGGCATTCAGGACCTTTCTCTGATTCCGCCCCCAGGTCTGGAGATGGGGGGCCACTAGTGTTCCCAGGGGGTAGGACAATAGCTGGTCCGATATTACCAGTCACGTTCACATCTTCATCCAGGCTGTCATCAAAATCAAACTCTTCGCCATGTTCTTCCTCTGAAGAAGATTCCAGCTCTGTTGATAGATGATCAGAACAAAGAAAATCACACTCAAAGACTTTACCTGGTAACACTCCTGCTTCTAGCTGTCAGTTGAACCCGATCATGCGAAAGTAGGACATTGTATTTTTGGAAATGCCATCTTTTGGATGATATAATAATATAATAATGCTTGATATAACGGCTTACCTTCGAGAAGTTTCAAAGAGCTTCACAGAATATACTGTAAAGTGAATTAACTGTATATATTTTGCGGACATAATGTGGCAACCAATTGCACGCAGCAGTGTCGCAAGAACAATCATGGATTGAATGACCAAATTATGATTTTTTTTGAAGGAATTATTAGCCCCAGAAAAGCAATTCGCCAATGTACCTACTTAGCTCTAGATAAACAGAGGTGTGTGGAGTAAGGAAACTTGCCGAATGTTTCGCCCTGCCTGGAAATCAAACCTAGGTCTCTCGCTTACGAGGTGAATGCTCTAACCACTGAGGTACAGGATTCCAGCTACAGGAGATATCAACAAAGTCCCTTTGCCAGGTCAAGTGGTTATTATTGGAAAAGAGAAGGGAGATTTTTTACCTGTATCCTGGCCAACAATCTATACAGATAAATCAGGTGTTTACATTATGGACATTTGTGGGACCTTGTTGTCCAGAAAAATGTTCTGTCACATTTGCTTACAAAAATGTCACAACAGTTGACAATGAAAATTCACTATAAAAGTGCAAGTTCTTTCTTCTTTATGGTTTTGTCATGACTGGAGCTGAAAGACGGCCATACAATAATGGGATAATGCTTCACTGTCATACCCCACTGCTCAGGTGGCGGTTGGGACTCCACAATTGGGAGATTTCAAAAGGAATAAATGATAATAATAATCCTTGCTCTTGATATAACGACTTATCACATCTTCGAGACATCTCACATCGCTTCACAGAATAAGACAGGCATATGTGCAGAAAGCCTATGAGAGGGTATAGGGAATTGGGATTAAGATAGATGGCTTCACTGGATGAGCAAATACTGACAATGGCCTCTGCTTTCTCCTGGATCTCTACGGTTCTTTGGTCATCATCTCTGCTTCTGGATCTATTCCTTGATCTTTTTGTCTCATATTTTGGAATGAAAACCTGAACCTGTGTGAACAGGAGTGATCACTTACCTGTGCTTTAATCCAACAGAGAAATATTTGGCAGCATTCTTGTTCCAGGGACCCGGAATTCTGTCTCGGCCTCAGGCCATTGTCTTAAAATGTAGTATTATGAAGAATTATGGAAAATTCTCAAATTGGAAACCGTTTTCTTCAAAAGCACGGTGGGAAACCACTACAAATCTGATTGGATTTAAGAATTTTTTCAAAATTCTGCAAAGTTTTTAATTTGATATTTCTGGTCACAGATGAGGGTCACTGTTGATTGGGTTTCTGGCAACAGCTTTGATGTCTCTGTTCACACATGAAGAATGGGTGGGGGGTTCACAGAAAGTGAGTCTAAGAAACTCTTAAATTAACTTTCTTTAACAGTAATTCATACTGTGCATTAGATGTCTGGAAGCATTTCCAGATCAACGAGTGAGAAATAGAGAAGGGGAAAACAGAGAGTGTTGACTCTCTTCCTCCTCCTCGCTCCCTCCCTTCCCTCCCCTCACCCTGACCATTTCCCCCCTCCTCGCTCCCTCCCTTCCCTCCCCTCACCCTGACCATTTCCCCCCTGCTCGGGTCATGACCCAACTGTGCAGCGCCTTGGGACGTCCTCCTGACGTGAAAGGCGCTTTATAAATGGAATCTTGTTGTTGTTGTTGTTGACAAAAGATACAGTCAAAGAGATAATAATAATTGTTGCATTTGATATAGCACCTTATCAAGTCGTTGAGATGCTTCAAGGCGATTCACAAAATATATCAGTCATACATTATCAAGTTTGCATGAATCATACATTCTTATATGTAGAAAGTTTTAAAGGTTGGGAGAGAAGAGACGAGATAAAGGGATATTTGGGATGAGATGCAAAGAATAACAATTACGGCAAATTACATTTGTATAGTGCCTTTCACGCCCGGAGGACATCCAAAGGCGCTGAACTTGCGGCGCTGGATGTCCCAAGGCGGGGGGTAGTGAGTGAAGATGTGCCAAAGGAAGTGAGGAACAATTTAGTACACGAAAGACTAGGAATGTCCTGGGAGTGCTGGAGTTGGAGCAGAGTCCAGGTTCTCATTGTCCCCTGCTGATGTAACCTGATGTAACCCTTTGCTGTTGTTGATGTATACTAATCTTTGTAATTCATATGGCTCCTATTACAACAACAACAACAACAAAATTACATTTGTAAAGCGCCTTTCACATCGGGAGGATGTCCCAATGCGCTGGACAGACAGAGTTTCAGACCCGAGCTGGGGGTCAGGATCGGGGAGGTTGGAGGCCAGGTGGGGGGGGGGGAAGCAGGGAGATCGAAAGCACAGTCGAAGAGGAGGGTCTTGATAGGTCTTAAAGGAGGCAAGTGAAGGGGCAAGGCAGAGGGACTATGGGATGGAGTGGGATGGCAGAAGGCCACTTTCAATAATATTTTTATTTGAATTTATTTTATTTAAATAATATTTTCATAACATCGAAATATCTCAGTGCTCCATAAAATATTGCTGTCGAATATAGTCACTGCATACTTGTAGGAACATGCTGCAGATAATTTGTGCCCAGCAGGTTCTACAAACTGCCACAAAATGAATATACAATCTATCTGGAGGATTGTTTGCTGGGACACAGGGAGAAACTGCCTGTTTTTTCTCAATAGTGTTGTGGAATCTTTAGTGACTACCTGAAGAACAGACAACTAAGTTTATCCACATCAGAAAAATGACATCTCTGACAATGCTGCACTCCCCCCAGTACTGTGTGCTGGAGATTCAGTGCCTTGGGTCACCTTTCCAACGTGAAAGGTGCTAAATGAACGCAGTTTGTTGTTGTGTCAACCTTTATCGTTTGGCCACCAAAATACATTTTCTTGATTGAATATTTCTGCATTCACGCCACAATTCAAGAAATATTCAATCAAGAAAAACTGGAAACACACTATTGTTTTAAAAGAGACTCACATAGACAGTTACAAATGTTCCACAGGCCACTTCCAGTTTGCGGGCCATGGGTTGGTCACCATTGCTATACACCCAGAGGCGAGAGAGTGCTACTCACTGAGCCATGACGCGCCCACAACACACCATGTAATAAGTTTACCTGATTGCGATGGCACGTCCTGCGTCTCTGGCGTCCTGTGGTCTGAAGGCTCTTCCTTAATCTCCGGCTGTTCCGGGGCCAAGTTGGAGGGCTCTGTTCCGATGTGGGGTGATTCCACTGCCTTCTGACCTGAACAAAATCAAACCTGCCAATTACAGCAGCAAGCTAAACGCTGATTTCCACTCTTGAAACATGCCTTTGACCTCCAATCACAGCGTTGTCACTATGATTTACAATGCAATACAAAATACAAAATACTGTACAATACTATGATTTCAGCAGTCACGGTGTTTTAGGTGTGTGATCTTCATCTCTACCCTACATAACACTGCGACCTCCTAAACCCCTACTAACCTGGCTGCTCCATCCGTAGAGTCCTGTAGCTCAGTGGTTAGAGCACTCGCTTTGCAAGTGAGAGACCTGAGTTCAATTCCAGGCAGAGGGCGAAACCTTGGGCAAGTTTCCTTACTCCACACAGAGCCTAATAATAATCCCTCCAAAACAAAAAACAATAATCATTTGGTCATTTTCAATCTACGACTGTTTGTGGGACATTGCTGTGCGCAATTGGCTGCCGCGTTCGCCCACAAATATACAGTCAATTCACTTTACAGTGTGTTCTGTGAAGCGCTTTGGGACGTCCTCCCACCGTGAAAGATGCCATACACATGTAATCTTGTTGTTGTTCTCCTCTGCACTGTCTCTACAGCCTGGGTAGCCCAGGTAAGTAGGTAAAATGTCAGTGACCAGAACTGAGTGCAATATTCAAGGTGTGGCCCGACCAGAGTACTGTACCGCCTGACTATGACGTCTATGGATCTAAACTGAATCGATTTAGCAATATAGCCCAGCATTCTGTTTGCCTTGTTTATTGCTGCCTCACACTGTTTTGACATGGTGAGCAGTGAGTTAACTGACACCTCCAGATCGCCTTTAGTTTCCGCCTTGGAAAGTTCTATCCACCCATGGAGTAAATGTGTTTCCTATCCTTCCTTCCTATATGCAGAACCTTCCATTTTTCTGCATCAGAGTCATTTCCCAATCACCCCATGTACATCAAGCTCTAGGAAGCTCTCTTTGTAAGACCTTTATTACCTTCTCTGATTCTACAGTTCCTCCCTCCCGCCAACTTGGTGTCATCTGCAAATGACCCTATAATGAGTCTGTCAATCCATAGTACTCCGAGACATTGACCTGCTTTATGATTACAAGTTGTTATCAGTTTACTGTATACAGAACTAAATGACACGACTAGAGAGACAATAATAGATAAAACCAAAGAAATGTTTGCCTGGCCTGGAATACCACAGACAATAATTAATGGCACTGGTTCACAATTCACGAGCAGTGAATACAGGAAATTCACAAGGAGCTGGGAGATAGAGCGCAGAACAGCCTCCACAGGATATCCTCAAAGCAACAGCATGGTAGAGAGATCAACACATACTGTAAAGAAAATGTGGAAAAAGGCTGAAAATGGAAAGAAAAACACTTGCGATAATGGCATGTGGAAATACGGCAATAGAAAATAATGGATGGTCACAGGCACAGATGCTGATGTCAAGAATAATAATCCTTGCATTTGATATAGACTTTTCATGTCTTCGAACGTCTCAAAGCGCTTCACAGAATATACTGTGAAGTGAATTGATTATATATTTGTGGGCGAAACGCAGCAGCCAATGGTGCACAGCAGTGTTCCACAAGCAGTCATGGATTGAAAATGACCAATTTATTATTGTTTTTTGTTTTGAAGATGTGGGACATCCCTTTAAGAGTGAAAGCCAATTTGTGAAAGATCCAATGAAGTGAAAAACAGGAAGTATAAAAGGGGACACTGGGAAGGGAAGGGAGCCACTGTGTGTGTGTTATAGCTAGGAGGAGGATTGGATTGTAGTGAGTTGCCAGTAAAGAAACTACCTAACACAACAGTACAATTATTACACACCTTACATTTCACTAACAGTAATTATTGACAAGGAGCATGACTTTTTGTAGGTGAACACATACATAAGCCAATTCACACAAGGGAGGTCCTCCACACAGCCTTGCGGTGAATGACCAATTTCTCAACATCATTGGCCAGGGCTCCTCTCTCTTCCAAATTGTCATCTATGGCGTCTTGAAGACCAGGGAACAGAATCTTTTTGTATTCCTGTCAAAGAGCGCTGGTAGTCTCTTGAAATATGCCTTCCCTTGTCATCCCTCCTTGTTAATGACCAGGGTACAGGAAGTTGTCCTGATTTCGCCTGGAGAGGCAGACAGCTATGGCTATGGTTTGTATCTGTCTCTATGATTATCACACCACATGACATTTTTCACCCCATATTTTTCACAATAGCAAACACGAACAGGAAAGCCAGTCTGTTTGGAAATGCTGCTGCTCACTGGTGACATATGGTACTTCAACTTTACAATAGAAGCTTTGCATGTTTATCTGAAGGTTTATACGTTAAGACATGGGAATAAAACTATTTTCTCAATTGATGTTTCAGGATGTCTAATGTATACTTGAAGAAGAGGAACTGAATTTAACATTCCATCTAAAGTATAGACCCTCTGACAATACAGTACCCCTCTAACGTCTAAACCTAACTCTAATCGTGGAGTCCTGTAGCTCAGTGGTTAGAGCACTCGCTTTGAGAGCGAGAGACCTGAATTCAATTTCCGGCAGAGGGCGAAACCTTGGGCAAGTTTCCTTACTCCACGCAGAGCCTAATAATACTCCCTCCAAAACCAAAAACAATAATAAATTGGTCATTTTCAATCCACGACGTTTGTGGGACATTGCTGTGCGCAATTGGCTGCCGCGTTCGCCCACAAATATACAGTCAATTCACTTTACAGTGTGTTCTGTAAAGCGCTTTGGGACGTCCTCCCGACGTGAAAAGCGCTATATCAAATGCAAGGATTATTATTATTAACCTGCAACAACAAAAACAAATTATATTTATATCGCTCAGTTCACATCAGTAGGACGACCCAAAGCACTGCACTGGAGTGTTAGCTGGGAAAATGAACTCAAGAGCTGGCAGAGAAGGTCCTCATGTTCTGACCCAGAGATTAGCATCTTATCTATTGACCTGAGGTAACACCTAATCACAGGAGCTGAGATCAACCCATTCACCATAACCAGAACCCAGAGTCTGGTTCCCTCCTGATCTGAGGGCTCAGTTTCATCCTGGGGCATTCACCAGCTGAGCCATTGGGTGAACTCCAAAGAAGGAACTGTAACCTAAAAAACTTCCCCATACATTTAAACGTAGTGAATTTTTACCAATATTCCTCCCTAATACTCCTCGTCTCATTGTTTATGGGATGTCGTTCGCCCAAATTAACTGTCATATTTTCACTCCGTGACAATATTCACTTCATATCTATACAGTCTCATTCCTTGCAGTGCTTTGAGATGTCTTTTTTAACATGCAGGACACTGCATAAATGTGAAGAAAAAGAATTTTTGCATTGATACAATGCCTCCATTGTCGGAACATCACACAGTGGAGTCCTGTAGCTCAGTGGTTAGAGCCCTCGCCCCATAAGCGAGAGATCTGGGTTCAATTCTTGGCAGGGCGAAACACTGGGACAGTTTGCTTATTCCACACGCCTCTTTTTACCTAGCAGTAAGTAGGAACCTGGTTGTTAGTTGATTGGCGGATTGCTTTTCTGGGGGTAATAATTCCTTCAAAAAAAAAAATAATTTGGCCACTCAATCCACGACTGTTTGTGGGACACTGATGTGCACAATTGTCTGCTGCATTCCGCCCACAAAATATACAGCCAATTCACTTTACAGTATATTCTGTGAAGTGTTTTGGGACATCTCAAAGACGTAATAAGGCATTATATTATAAAGGATGCAAGGATTATTAGTGTTTTACAGGAAATCACAGTCAAATGTAGTGACTGTCTTGTTTGTTGGCAAAATTAGTAGCCAATTTGTGCACAGCAGTGCCGTGGGCTAGCCATGAAGTGAGAGGGATTTTATATTGAGGTTGGTACATTATTATTGCTTGACCTGAGAGTGCTCAATTCTGACTCTCTGCTAAAGGAAGAAAGATGTTCCATAATTATAATACCTGAATTTGATACAGCGCCATTCACATCAGAAAAAAATCTCAACAACAAGATTCCATTTATAGAGCGCCTTTCATGTCAGGAGGACATCCCAAGGCGCTGTACAGTTGGGTCAGGACCCGAGCAGTGGGGAAATGGTCAGGGTGAGGGGAGGGAAGGGAGGAGCGAGGAGGGGGTAGAGAGTTGAGAGGGGAGCTGAAGGCACCGTCAAAGAGAAAGGTCTTGGGACCGGCCTTGAAGGAGGAAAAGGAGGAAGTGGCGAAGGCACTGGGGGATAGAGTTCCAGAGCCTTGGGGCTGAGAGGCTGAAGGCCCGGCCACCGATGGTAGGGCGGTTGGGGCGGGGGATGTGGAGCAGACCGGAGCCAGAGGAACGAAGGGTACGGGCGGGTAAGTAGGGGAATAGTAGATCAGAGAGGTAGGAGGGAGCAAGGCCGTGAATGGCCTTGTAGGTGAGGATGAGGATCTTGAATTCAAAGATGTCTCAAAGTGCTTCAGAGGATTTATTGTAAAGTGAGTGACTGGATTTTGTACAATAGAAATTTACATTGATGCAGTGCCTTTCATGTGCTGGAGGATGTGCCAAAGTAGTGCTCAGTCCTGGCTTGGTACCTGAGCTGGAGGTGGAAGCCGAGGGTGGGAGGGGTGGGAGGGGAAGTATGACAAAAGGTGCGATCAAAGATGAGATGGACATTGAAAAAGGTGAGGGTGGGGTCAAGTTGGAAGGACTCCGGGATGGAGTGCAAGACAGTGAGGGCAGAATGGCTGAAAGCCTGATCAACGATGGTAGGGAGGAGAGGGGGACGACATGAAGAGGATTGGTATGGTTTGAGGTGGTCACAGAGATAAGGTGGGACAAGACTGTGGAGGGATTTGAAGGTGACAACGGGGTAAGTGAACTGTACCGATGCTAATGGGCACCTTTACAGAACTGCACACTCAACGCATTTCTGTGAGAAATTGCCCTTTCACTACAAACATTAATGTTGTGATGAAGAGCTTCCAAAGACATAGTCGCTTTGAGATTATCACTCAGGATCATTTGTTTTTAACGGGTGCCAGAGGCCACTTGAAATATCCTGCCCCCTCCTTGATTTATGACCAGTGTACAGGAACCTGTCCTTATGCCACCTGCGTGGAGAGGCTCTGGGAATGGACCTGCTTTCTATTGTCACTCAATCTGTAAAGGGAAAATCCACGGGAAATTCTGACAGTGTTTGCTCATCACAGTACATGTACAGTCCAGTAGTTCAGTGGTTAGAGCACTCGCCTCGTAAGCGAGAGGGCCTGGTTTTGAATCCCGGGCAGCGCGAAATGTTGGCCAAGTTTCCTTGCTCCACACGCCTCTGTTTACCAGCAGTAAGTTGGAACCTGGTTATTAGTCGATTGGCGGATCGCTTTTCCGGGGGTAATAATCCCTTAAAAAAAAAAATTTGGTCACTCAATCCACGGCTGTTTATGGGACGCTGCTGTGTGCAATTGCCGCATTTCACCCACTAAATACACAGTCAATTCACTTTACAGTATATTCTGTGAAGCGTTTTAAGACGTCTCAAAGACGTGATAAGGCACCATATCAAATGTAAGGATTATTATTATTATGAGATGAGATCGTCTCCCACGTGTGTAGGCTGCAGGATAATGGCTAGAACTCCAGTTTTATGGCACATTTCCATGCTCTTTCCAGGAGTTGACATTTACATTTATTGGACTAACATCAACACTGATCCAATATTGCAATTACACTAGAACAACAGACTCCAGACAGCAACTCCCACTCCTCACAACGTTAACCTCAAAATAACAGCAAGAACAACAACATTGTTCTTACACAGTACAACCACGTAGGGAGACCATTTCAAAGCCCTTTGGAGGGACAGTGTGTAGACCGACGCAAGGTGGCAAGTGGTGAGGGGCAGGCAGTACAAACTTTTTTGCAAGCGTTTTGAAATCAGGACATGCAGGCGAGAGATGGAGGGATTATGGACGGAGAATTGAGGAGCACGGGACAAAGTGTCAGAGGGGGCAGGGATACAGGAGACCTATGTTTGTGGAGCGGAAGGAGTGGGGTTGAAGAATGGGGCTGAAGGAGATTGCATAGGTAGTGAGAGAAGGGGGGTGTGAGAGTGTGGAGGGATTTGAAAATCAATGGCGACCGAAAGAGAAAGTATTTAACAAGAGCGAGGACAAAAAAACTCACTGAAATTCCCTACCGGTGTTCACATCAGCCAGTGGTCGCCTGTTTGGCTTGACCAGTTTGGAATTGAATAAGAAAAGAACAGGAAAGGTTTCTGGCTCTCTGCAGTGAGTGCAGAAGAGAGATGAGAAACACATGTGATTGAGTAATCACTTTCTGGACAGGGCTTCCAGGCTGCACCAGATGGTTTCCCACTGAACTCCGGGAGACAGCCGAGAGACAGTTTCCTGCTCCAGGAATTTTCCACAGCTCGACCCTCACTTTGTAAACAGGCTCCGCAGAGAGTTGAGCAATCAGCGATCTCTCTCTCTCTCTCTCTCTCTCTCTCTCTCTCTCGCAATCTGTGGAATCCTGTAGCTCAGTGATTAGAGCACTCGCTTTGCAAGTGAGAGAGAGACCTGAGTTCAATTCCAGGCAGAGGGCGAAACCTTGGGCAAGTTTCCTTACTCCACACAGAGCCTAATAATAATCCCTCCAAAACCAAAAACAATAATAAATTGGTCATTTTCAATCCACGGCTGTTTGTGGGACATTGCTGTGCGCAATTGGCTGCCACGTTTCGCCATAAATATACAGTCCATTCACTTTACAGTATATTCTGTGAAGCGCTTTGAGACGTTGAGAAGACATGAAAAGCGCTATATCAAATGCAAGGATTATTATTGTTATTATTAACCCTTCAACCTCTGAAGATTTTCAAAACAAATGTTGCTTCTACTTTGCAAATGTGTTGACGAGCACTGAATAAGCCATCAGCTTGGCTTAGTCGGTAGTATTCTTGTCTCTAGGTCAACAACCCCCACCTTGCCTCAAGGCTTGTCTCAAGACCTTCTTCAACAATCGTCATCCTCCCACCTCCACCCACTTCCCCTCCTCGTAGCTCTTCACTGTCCAGCACCTTGGGCCGTCCTCCCAAGGTGAAAGCTGCTATAATTTTTCAAATTGTTATTGCTTTTCTTCTTCTCCCGATGTCCCGGCTAACAATTGCCCCAATAAAATTGCTGTGCAAGAATTGGCTTCCATGTTTGCTCACAATTACAGTCACTACACTTGACTGCAATTGCTGTGAAGGACTTTGAGAAGTTTTGCCATGATAGGCATTGCATCAAATGTGAACATAATTAACAGAGGTTCAACATATATTTTAACAATGTGTCTTTAATTAGAAGTGGAATGTATAATAACCCTTGCGTCTTATCATGTCAATGAAGCGATTCACAGAATGTATTGCAAAGTGGATTGACTGTGTATTTATCCAAGGGGTAATAATTAACAACAACAATGACAACAAATGTATTTGGGAATAGTTTAAGATAGTTTAAGATCCTCGTCCTCACTTTCAAAGCCCTCCAGGGTCTTGCTCTGTGACCTACTAATATCTTTCCAACCTTCCCACTCCCTCCGCTCAGCGGGGCACTGGCCTACTCCATGTCCCCACCCTGCCCACTCCACCATCGACGGTCGGACCTTCAGCATTTCTGCATCACTCTCTGGAAATCCATCCCGGAATTCCTTCATCTTGCTCCCTTCCTTGGCTGCTTCAAGGCCCATCTCAAGAACTTACTCTTTGACCATGTATTCCATCTTCCTCCCACCCCCACCACCATCCTCCACCTTGCCGTCCACCCTCTTGATTACAAACCCCAGCATCCTTGACTGTCCAGCGCCTTGGAAGGTGATACTGACGTGAAAGGCGCCACATAAATGCAATTTGTTGTTGTTGTTCTTGAACACCATAACGTTGACAATATTGTTGAAAATACATCCCTTCAGCTCCCTCTGCCAGGAAGTCCACTGTGTGGGGGTGAATTGGAACCAAACAGAACTGGTGGGTGCCAGAGCCCAATGATTCTTTTAAATGGGAAATTAACTGTTGCTTGAAAAAGAGGACTGTTAATAATAATAGTCCTTGCATTTGATGCAGCGCCTTATCACGTCTTCGAGCCGTCTCAAAGCGCTTCACAGGATACACTGTAAAGTGAATTGACTGTACATTTTGTGGGAGAAACGCGGCAGCCAATTGCGCACAGCAGCGTCCCACAAACAGTCGTGGATTGAGTGATCAATTTATTATTATTAATTTTTTTTAAGGGATTATTAGCCCCAGAAACGTGATCTGCCAATTGACTAACTACTGAGTTCCTACTTACTGCTAGGTAAACAGAGTTGTGTGCAGTAAGGAAGCTTGCCTCATATTTTGCCCTGCCAGGAATCGAACTCAGGTCTCTCACTTGCGAGGCAAATGCTCTAACCACTGAGCTACACTGAGTTAAAAGCGGCATGAGGGTGGGGTTGTGGGGGGAGCGGGGGCGAGGTGGGGGGAACAAGTAAGAGAGTGGGATAAACTGAGAGATTCTTGTGGCAATAAATATCAACAGCAACAACTTGCATTTATACTGCGCCCTTCACGCGTGTCGAACCCAAGTATTTTGCGGACTGGATAGGCCAAAGAACCTAGAACTTTCTCTAATCCCATAACATCACCAAATAAAATAGAGATTCCTCTGACAACAAAAGTATGTTTACATGTTCTCATTCCTAAATATACACAAACAATTTTTCCAAGGTCTCCGTCTTTTTCTCCAGGCACCATTTATTGCTCCTGCAGTGTTTCAGACTTTCGAGCTGGGAAGGCTGTTTGGGGCAGTGGAACATCACCAGTATCTTACTATGAAACCTCTGTTCCCTGCTCAACTCCCCCCACCACACACTGAGATTTAAGATAAAGAAAGAGGCCTTGTGTTCTGTGGTGTCAATGAAGGGGTGTTTGTTCCTGGGGCTAATGTAAAGAAGGACTCGCCGATATTCCCATGATATCACACACAGGACATCAACTCTCTGTTTGGTCTATTGTTTCAACTGCAGCGCTGATGGGATATCACTCTCGCATCACTGATCTTCCAAAGAAGCCTGGCTGGTACCAGAGATATGAGGCTTTAGCTGTGAGGAGCAGCAGTGAAAAATACTGCAACATCTCTTAGTTTAATTGCTTTTTTATTTAATAATTGTTTGACCAATATCTCATGAAGAAGAGCAATAGATACACTTCCCCAGCCACAACTGATAATTTCTCAGATCAGAGGACTGTGGCGTTTACGTATGATGATTATGATTATGTTGATTATTTTAATTATGATAATCCCTCCGGCTCAGTCATCTCTCAGCACGTTGCTGTGAAAGGCAAGATGGTGCAGTGTTAACGTACCTTCAGGTGGGACAGAAGGTGGATCACAGGAATCCATTCCACAGTCCGCTGTCCTTCACATTCGTAAAATGACTCAAGAGTTCTTCCTGTTACAGAAAATATTGGTTAAATGCCATGGGACTCTCCAGCATCAATAATGCATCCCAAACATATATTACAACAGTTGACAGCCTAGCTCAATTGGTTGCACCCGTATTTCTGGGTCAGAAGGCTGTGCGTTCAACAACAACAACAAATTACATTTGTATAGAGCCTTTCACGTCAGAAGGAATAGGGTTCAAGCCCTACATAAGGACTTTGAGTTCATTTTAGGCTGACTCTCCAGTACAGCGCTGGGGGTTGCTCCATTGTTGGAGGTGCGGTCTTTCGATAATACGTTAAAACTGAGGTCCTGCGCTTTTCTGTTCAGGTGGACGTTAGAGATCCCATGGTAATACTGGAAAAGCGAAGGAAGTTTCTCTCTCCTGGCGTACTGGCTGATAATCACCCAGATCAAATTTGTCACTCACTTCATGGCTGTTTATGGGACATTGCTACATGCAGACATGCTGCCATGTTCCCCCCCATGAATTTATGTATGATGACGTAAATTGTTTACAACAATTCCCTGTGAGGCTTTTTTGAGATATTTCAATGTTTTGCATGCTATTTCAATTCAGAGATTATTATTAATAATAAATCTTCAATGCAGTCTAAGATTAATAATTAACAAAAAATATGATGCTTCTTAAGAGGTTCCATTTGGTAATGATCACATTGACTCTGGTAACAAATGCCAAAATTTCAGTCAACACTTAATGACTAATGTTGGCAGTGAACACTTCTCCCCCAACCCCATCCCACGATTTCAACACAATGGTTTGGCCCACCAATTTCTCTGCTAGAGATTGTTGCTGAGGACTCAGAGAATGAACGTTTCAATGCTTCTTCGCAGAAATCACCAGCTGAAGCTCTGAGCTCTAAGCCAGGATGGCATCTCCTGAAACCACATCACTTTCTGGGGATAATAAACCTTTCAAAAAATAAAATAATAAATTGTTAACTTCATTCCACGGCTGTTTGTGGGACACTGCTGTGCGCAATTGGTTGCTACGTTTTGCCCAAAAAATAAACAGTATTTACAGTATATTCTGTGAAGGGCTTTGAGATGTCTCGAAGTCGTGATAAGCCGCTATATCAAATGCAAGGATTATTATTATTATGGTGAATGCTGCTCTCTGCGACCCGAAACAATAGTAAAGCCAAACTGGGGGAGGGGGAAGGAGTGGGTGGGGGGGTGAAATTAACTCAAAAACCTGTTGATTCCCAAATCTAGTTTGGATTTCAGTTTCCGTCCTTAATGAAGGAATGAAATATGTTCAGGAATATCTGTCCCCATGCGATTCTCAAGGTGAATCAAAGCGTTGCATGAGGCAAAGTGCAGATATAGACTTGGCAACTCTACTGGGCCGACAGGCACAAGCATCTACTTGTCCTGGGTGTGATTCCTCAGCTCTTGGCCAAACGTCCAGTCATCACGAACAAACAGTGACTGGCAGTAGGCAACTCAGCTCAGCACTGAATCCTAGCTAAACGTTTACTCAACGCCCTCCCACACACACAGACATATATACACAAACAGACACATGTCCGCACACATGCACACTTACGGACACTCATGTGCGTGCACACACACACAATGATAGACATTCATGTGCACACTCAAACACACCTATATACACACAACCAACACCTAGGACAGGCCATTCGTCCTATCCAATCTCTGTTAGTGTTTTTCTCCACATGAGCCTACCAGTCTAATCCAGATCTCCCGCTCGCTCCACATCCCTTTCAATATTCCTCCTCTTCAACCTTCTATCTACAGTAATTCCCTTTTGAAAGATTTATGGACTTTGCTTCAACTCCAACTGTAGCAGAGAATTCCCCATTATCTGCCTACTGTGTAAAAACTGTTTTTTCTAATCTCCCCTTTAATTTGTTTTGAGATTATTTTGTGAAATATGTGTCCTCTCGTGACTGACTTGGCATCCAGTGGAGAACTACTCACTCTCTCATAACCCTTCGTAATCTTGAAGGCCTGGATCAGGCCTTCCCTTTAACCTTCTCAACTCCGGTGGAAAAACTCCCAACTTCTCCAGTCTCTTCATAACTGAAGCCCTAGCCCCTGATGATGGAGGTACCATCGAGGCTTCCTTTGGCCTTTCACGAATGGGGAGTATGGCCTCTCTGGGCTTATTCACGGGCTGACTCCAACTGATGGGAGGGCAGTAACCTTGAATAAACATGGGAGGCCATGAGCGGGAGTCAAATTGAAATGCGTGGATTATTATTATTATTAATGATTCCCAAGAAGATTTCAAGCTCGCATCAGCCTGGCTCAACCACCCTCTCATCTCTTAGTCAGAAGGTTGTGGGTTCAAGCCCCACGTCATAATCTCGAACTCAAAGTTCATGCTGACACTCCATTGCAGTGCTGGGGAGCGCTGTACTTGTCAGCGCTACCATCCTTCGGATATTAAACCAAGGTCCTTTCTGCCTGTTCAGGCGGATGTTAAAGATCTACGGGAAAGAGTTTCTGCCAACAATAAAACTGGTCATTCACATCATACTCCCACCATTCAGAAATGGAAGTGGGGGGGGGGTCTTATTTCAAATTGGATTTTTTAAACAGAATATGTGAAGGAATCCTGCAATTTTGACTCCAGAAATAATCCTGAGTCAAAGAGGTTCTTAATTGAATTTATGGGTTGGATCCACCACTTCCTCAGGTTCTGAATGCGATCTTGACCAGAGCTGACACCAGTAAAGTGGTTGCGGTGCAGAGTGAATGAATGGCTGTCTCTATAAACAGTTCAAGATTAGCATTGTGCTTTAATAAAACAGGATTTCATTATACAGGAGATGTTCCATTCAATTACGGGAGTTAAGGGAGTTAAATCCACCAGTTACCAAAACTGCAACATACAGATCACTGCAGTTTATTGTAATAGTGCTTTGTACTGTGCACTGTGATGCACTTTGATAAGTTCACCCGACGTGAAAGGCATTGTATAAAATATAAGGACTAGTTATTATAATAAAACTAGCTATTCTTTATTTCCTTGTGAATACTGAGAAATCCTAATAGAAACAAACAATCAAGTAATTGAGTTAAAGGCTGGCCACGATCTTCCCTCTCTCACTAAGAAATCAGACACTTGCTACTTTGCCCAAGTGATAGGTAGCAGATAATGGCTTTTACTCTAACGCTATACAATAATAATCCTTGCATTTGGGATTGCACCTTTCCCGTCCGTGGCCATCTGAAAGTGCTTCACAGGATTAACTGCAAAGTGCAGTGACTATTTGTATTTAGCTTTATTGGGAGAAAAACTGTGATAGCCTGACTCAATCCGGTTCCTGAATTATTGGTAGGAAGGTTAACTAGGGAGGCAAGGATGAGGTAACGGATATATGGAGCCTCGTGAGAATGGGGTGCTGGGTGTTCACAGCCTGTGGAGGATGATGATAGTGGTAATAATAATTATAATGATGAAGCCCTGAATTTGGTATATTGCTTTCACATCAAGAAGATGTCACCAAGTGCTTCATGGGAGTACTTACTGTAACATGTAGAAACAGTGTGGTAGTCAATTTGCTGCTACACAGTTAGTACACAGCAAATCACAGCACAGCAATGTCCTACAAACAGCCATGAAGTGAATGGGCAATTTTATTTGGGGGATTGTTGGTCAGAACAATGGGAGAGAGAAACACTCTTCTATTTTTGAATAGTGTCAAGGATCTTTACCCTACGCCCAAACAAGCAGACAGGGCCTCGGTTTAACGTCTCATCTGGAGAAAGGCACTTCCGACAATGCAACTCAATCTCCAAGTCCCCACCAGAGAGGCATTCAAAGATCATAAAAGAGGTTCAGGTGAAGAAGCCCGTTTCATAAATAAGTCCAATTGGTCCATTTTGGGATCTGTACAATTCATCGTGTTAATTTCTATAACTAGTTTAACTCCCAATTTCATAATATTAGTAATATTCCTTACATTTGATTCAGCACCTTATCACATCATTGAGATGTCTCAAAGCGCTGCACATATTATACTGTAAAGTGAATTGACTGTATATTTTGTGGGTGAAGCGCGCCAATTGCACACAGCAGCGTCCCACAAACAGTTGTGGATTGAGTGACCACATTATTACTATTATTCTTTTTTTGAGTGATTCTTACCCCACAAAGCGATCCGTCAGTCGACTAACAACCAGGTTGCTATTTACTGCTGGGTAAACAGAGACATGAGGAACAAGAAAATTTGCCTAAGGTCTTGCCCCACCCGAGATTCAAATCCGGGTCCTCTCGCTTGCGAGGTGACTGCTCTAACCACTGAGCTACAGGACTCATGTGATGTGCTGACACACGCTGGGATGCATTTTTGTCTGCTTACCTCACCCAGGTTGTTATTGGCAAGGCTCGGTGGTGGCTTCCAGCTGACTATTTGGCCTCAAGACACTGAGGGAAGTGGGATATTGTGACCAATCCTGCCATATGCCTCCAGCCCTCTCAACACAGAAACTCTCAAGTGCATCCCTGTGTGAGATCGATTGGGATCTTTAAAAAAGATGGATAGATAGTTGTGGAGTCCTGTAGCTCAATGGTTAGAGCACTCGCCTCGCAAGTGAGAGGACCCGGGTTCGATTCCCAGGCAGGGCGAAACCTTAGGCAAGTTTCCTTACTCTACACACACACACACACACACATATACACACCTCAGTTTGTCTAGCGGTAAGTAGGAACACGGTTGACAGTGGAATGGCGGATCGTTTACGGATGAAATTATCCCTTCAAAAAATAAAAATCTGGCCACTCAATCCATGACTGTTTGTGGAACACTGCTGTGCGCAATTGGCTGCCACATTTTCCCACAAAATACTAAGTAAATCCATTTTACAGTACATTCTGTGAAGTGCTTTGAGACGCGTCATCGACATGATAAAGCGCTAAATTGAATGCGAGGATTATTGTTATTATTTATCACTGAACTTGGATGGATGGAAATTACAGTGTGGAGAAAAGGCAGGGATTGGAATTAAAAGATCTGCCATGATTTAATAAACTGGCAGAGCAGGCTTGATGGGCTGCATGTCTCCTCCTCTTACTGTGCACCAATTACAATAACAACAACAACAATCTGCATTTATATAATCCTTTCTTATTAGTAAATCAGCATTGAACCTGGGACCAAATTGATCTGTACGGTCACTGAATAATCGTAGAAGCCATGATACAATTCAATACAATGCAAAATTCCATTTGTATAGCACCTTTCACGTTGGGAGGACGTCCCAAGGCGCTAGACAGTTAGGGATTTGGGCCCAAACTGGGGGCCGGGATCAGGCAGGGTGGAGGGCAGGGAGGGTGGCTAAAGCCTCAGTTAAAAAGGAGAGTTTTGAGATTCACCGTGAAGGAGGCAAGATAATAAAATACCTAACAACAACCACGTTTAATACAGTGCCTATAACGTTGAAATAAGTCAAAGTGCTTTACAGAGGATTTCCTCTAAAGTGGAAAGGCTGTGTACAAGGTGACTGTGATAAAATGCCTCTTGAGAGCATGAGTTCATTTATGGTGAGGTGTCCTGTGGACCTGTGGTGACCAGTATTGTGGTGGACTGAGGATTTCTGGCACGGATTAGTTGGCTCCCTGTACATGCTTGCTCAGGAAGCTGACACTCGGTGCAGGATGCTGGAAGTGATGTCAGCGGTGACCTGATGATCCCAGAAGCAGAACCTTTAGCCAATTTTTTCCCGCAGACAACAACAACAACATATTTTGTGTCAGGAGAATGTCCCAAAGCACTGGAGAGTCAAGGGTTTGCCAAGATGTGGGCTGGAGTCAAGAAGGACGGAGGGAATGGGTGGTTGGGGCTGGGAAGATGACCAAAGGTGTGGTCAAAGAAGGTCTTGAGACTTGCTTTGAAAGATGTAAGGAGGAGCGAGGCAGAGGGGCTCCGGGATGGAGTTCCAAAGGGTGCGGCACAAAGGCTAAAGGCCAGATCTCCTCTGGTGCAGCGGATAGAGAGCATGTTGGGATGAAGATTGATAGGATTTAGGTCACGGAGGATGGAGCAGAACCGTGGAGGGATTTAAACATGAAGACAAGGATTTTAAACTTGATCCTCTGAGGGATGGGCAACTAAAGAAGCTGCAGGTATAGGTGACTGCAGCAGCTAATTTGTTCAGAGTAATGTCCCACAAACAGTCATTTGGTGAATGATGGATTTTATCCAGGGAAGTGCTGGCCAGCATACCAGGAGAAACTCCCATTTCTTTTTGATGGTATCTTTAACAACCACCTGAACAGGCAGACTGTGCCTCCTTCAACACTTCACTGCAGTATCAGACTAGACTGTGAGCTTCCGACATTGGACTTGAACCCACAGCCTTCTGCCTCAGAATGGAAAGTGCTAGTGACTGAGAAGAAAATAATATTTTGCTAGGAGTTTCACTGAGAGCTGAGGGGATATTCTGCTCTTTTTGACTTGGACTAATTATTATTTCTATTCAGCGGCATTATCCCTCTGAACTTACAAATGATTTTAAATCACATTTGACATTTAAAGATGTAAAATGAAAAGAAAATCTTTACATTTGTAATAACGTTTATGGTCAAAATAGGAAATTTCATCAAGCAATAGAGAAAAGAGAACATAGCTGAGCTCCATCAGTGAAGGCTCTGATTGCATCACCGAATAATAATCCTTCCATTTGATATAGCTCCTATATTGTCAAAAAAATACTATGTAGTGACTGTGCATTTGGTGGACATTACAGCAGCCAATTTGTAAACACCAAAGTCCTACAAATAGCCTTGAAGTGAATGATTGATTGAATATTCACCAAGAGAAACTCCTATCTAACAATAAAAAATAATAATAAATTGGTCACTCAATCCACCCTGTTTGTGGGACACTGCTGTGAGCAATTGGTTGCCAGATTTTGCCCACAAAATATAGTCAATTCACTTTACAGTATATTCTGCGAAGCCCCTTGAGATGTCTTGAAAACGTGATTAAGGCGCTATATCAAATGCAAGAATTATTATTATTATCTCTTTTCTAATAGCCTCATGGCATCTTTCACATCCACCTGAGTAGCCACAGACAAGGCCTCAGTTTAACACTTCATCTGAAGGCAGCACCTATGCCAATACAGCACTCTGAGCATCAGCCTGGACAGTGCCATGACATGGGAGCTTTGGACCCAGAGGTGTGAGCACAATTGAGTGATTCAAGGAAAAAGCTGAAGTTATTAGCAAAATGCATTGCCTCTTACAGTAACCATAAGCCCTGTTCCTCTGGAAAGTTGATAGTTCCACATGAACTGGACATTTGATGGTGAGCACCACACCGTGTGCCTCCGTGTGTATGGAGTCCTGTAGCTCAGTGGTTAGAGCACTCGCTTTGCAAGTGAGAGACCTGAGTTCAATTCCAGGCAGAGGGCGAAACCTTGGGCAAGTTTCCTCACTCCACACAGAGCCTAATAATAATCCTCCAAAACTAAAAAAAATAATAAATTGGTCATTTTCAATCTACGACTGTTTGTGGGACATTGCTGTGCGCAATTGGCTGCCGCGTTCGCCCACAAATATACAGTCCATTCACTTTACAGTATATTCTGTGAAGCGCTTTGGGACGTCCTCCCGACGTGAAAAGCGCTATATCAAATGCAAAGATTATTATTATTAAATGACAGTCACTCTACTTGGCAATAATTACTGCAAAGGCACCATAAATTATTTCTTCAAAAGCTAAAAGAATGAAACTGCTGCCTCACCAACACTGACTCCAGTGTCAGTTTAATGTCACATTCCTTAGTATTCTGACAGCACTATATACCAATGGTGATGAGGATCATGGTATTTAATATGTTACTCAGATGGTACTGGCCTGTGACTGAAGCAGTAAAGTAAAATGTCTAGTGTATATCCAGCCGAGGAGCTTGTAATGGGACTGAAGTCCTGCAAACTTTATCCTGTATCTCATAGGTTGCTTGTGGATGCTTAAAGACACAAATATAACAGAGCTCCCATTTGATCCAACGCCTCTGAATGTCAAATTGTTTCAAAACAATTCACAAGTAAGTGCTATCAAGTGTAGAGTTTTCTCGATTTCAAGGTCCTCACATTCGTATTCAGATCCCTTCAAGCCTTGGCACCACCCTACCTCTCAAACCTCCTTACTCCCCAATCCACTACCCGTTGCCTCCGCTCGACTATCTCCAGCCTCCTGCTTATCCTTCATGCCCTCCGTTCCACCATCAATGGTCGTGCTTTCAGCCAATACCCCCCGAAACTCTGGAACACTCTCCTTCAATCCACTCCGCCTTGCACCCTCCTTCCCCATCTACAGTCGTGCCTGAAGTCCAGCCCCTTGGGACTGCCTCCTGACATGAAAGGCACTATACAAATATAATTTGTTGTTCTTGTTGCTCTTCGACCATGCTTACGGTCACCTCACCCCCTCCCTGGGGCTTGGCCTCGTGCTCCGCCACTCTCAAGCGCTCAGAGACCCTGCCTTGTATGAGGAGAATGCTTATAAATGCAAGTTGTTGTTGTGACTGGGTATTTCTAGGTGAAAGCAGCAGCCAATTTACAAACAGCAAGGTCCCACAAACAGGCATGAATGAGTGGAATGACTTATTTATTTGGTTGATTGTTGGGAGAAAAGCCCTTCTCTTATCCTAAAGGGTCACGGGATAGGGGTGGGGTAGAGTCAGGGATAAGGGACGTTTAACATCGACCTGAACAGGAGTCAAGACCTCAGTTATCCGAAGGACGTCACCTCGTCCAATGGAGGGCGGCAGTGTCAGGGCGCAGTGATCTCACAGTCCCTCTGCTCACTACCACATTCCCTCCTCCCACCACCACAGTTCAGGATCAGACTCGCGCTGTCAGGAAGATGAAATGAACAGCACACCCCTCCCACTCCAGCCTCGCACAAACACAGCCCGTTTCAGCTGCCACTGTCCGACATACTGTGAGATCATAAACCCAACCCTTCAGCAATTACAATTGACAGAATATCCTAATCCACACACATCCCCAGTGCACTGCTCTCCCCTCTCCTCCCGCCACAGCTTCAGTTCCTTTGTCAGCTGCGGGGGGTCTGACTGGAGCCGTCTGTGCTGCTGGACTGAGGCATCGGTCTGTATCGGATACAAACTGTAAAATAGCTTCTCAAGAGGCAAGAGGACAGACACTTACCGTGGTTTAAGTCTTTGTTGTCATGTACAAAAGACCTGGGAATCCCACGTGAGAAGAGATATTAACTGAGTGTAAACTCGGTTGAGTAGCAGCACAGGAAGAGTCTCTGTTCACATTCTTTAGCTTTGTACGGCGTCCACATCAGCCATTATATATACGGGAAATCTTAAATCCAGGCATCCTTGTCAAGTGGTCTGAAAGGAAGGTCGGGGAGGTGTGGGGGGGCTTTGGGGAGGTGTGGGGGCTTTGGGGGTGTGGGGGGGCTTTGGGAGGAGTAAGGTGGGGGGGGGCTTTGGGGAGGTGTGGGGGGGCTTTGGGGAGGAGTAAGGTGGGGGGGGACTTTGGGGAGGTGTGGGGGGGGGCTTTGGGGAGGTGTGGGGGGGCTTTGGGAGGTGGGGGGGGCTTTGGGGAGGAGTAGGGTGGGGGGGGCTTTGGGGAGGTGTGGGGGGGGGGGGGCTTTGGGGAGGTGTGGGGGGGCTTTGGGAGGTGTGGGGGGCTTTGGGAGGAGTAGGGGGGGGGGCTTTGGGGAGGAGTAGGGTGGGGGGGGCACAGTTCTTGCTCTTCTTTCTCTCAGCCTCTCCTTCCCACCGATCAGCAGAAGCCGCTGCTGTCAAGCCCTCTGCACTGAGCAGAGCTGAGGCACAGCCAATGGGAGAGCTGTGATCTCCTCCACAATCCTCAAGGGCGCTTCAATCCTGCAGTCATGAATATTTATCAGAGGGCTGCCTCGAGTTTCAGGCTGAGCTGAGCTCCAGCAATGAAAGTGGCAGCCGAGCTTTCTTTCTCATGGTCTCTGACTGTGTGCGGGAGAGGACCCTCCGGCCCAGCCTGGCCTGGCTCTCACCCCGCAGGAAAGCCCAAGAGAGGACCCTCCGGCCCAGCCTGGCCTGGCTCTCACCCCGCAGGAAAGCCCAAGAGAGGACCCTCCGGCCCAGCCTGGCCTGGCTCTCACCCCGCAGGAAAGCCCAAGAAAAAGTGGGTGAGAGTTGAAGTGTTAATGGCTGCGACTGCAGATCCGTGAGGTGATCTCATTAGCCTCTGGTCGCCAGGATACAGCCAGCGAGGTCTGTAATAACAGCACGAGCAGCAGCGTGGGGGGAGGAGGGGAGTGACGCCACTCAGACTTGTCCTAACATTAACACAGCTCCTTCTTTATTAAAAGCTTGTGGAGACTGGCCCACAGCTTCAGGAACCCATCTCAGGGATGGGGGCCGCTGGGGAGGGGGGAGAGGGGTGAGAAGGGGACACCCAGAAGCTAAATTATGCATCTTTATGCCACTTTATCACATCAAACATCTCAAGCGCTTCACAGGGATTTACTGTCAAATTTAGTGACTGGACAAATTTCTAGGCAAGTCTGGCACTCAGCAAAGTGCCATAAACAGCTGTGAGGTGAATGGTCAATTGATAGGGATGATTGTTTCCGAGGACACCAGGAGAAACTCCCTTCACTTATCCAACATGGTCACGGGACTTTAATATAATCCTTGCATTTGATATAGCGCAGTAAATGATCACTTGAACAACCTTCTGGACCTTAGTTTCACATCCAAACAATGGATGAGACATTAAACCTATTATTTTCCTCTGTCGTTCTATCATTCCATAACTAGGTTGAACAGTATCAGGTTTTGTTTCTAAAAAGTAATTTTATTTATTAAAAAATGCTTCGGGCTAAAACGACATTACAGGAGAATGTACGTCTTATTACTATCTGAACACAAGACTTGTTGCATTGAGTTGCTCTCGCAGGATTTCAAGGTTGTAATGTACCTGTGTTCCATTCTTTTCCTCCTCAATTTTTGGCTTTCACAAATCACAACTTCTCTCCCTCGCCAAGCTTCAACAACAACAACTTGCACTTATATAGTGCCTCCACGCAGGGTAACATCTCAGAGCGCTTTACACACTCCTTATCCCCTTCCACACCTTCCCCATCTCCCAGCACATTAACTTGTGAGCCTGGTTCAGTTAGTACCGCTCTTGCCTTTGAGTCAGAAGGTTGTCGGTTCAAGTCCCACATGAGGACTTTGAACTCACATAGTCCAGGATGAGACTCCAATGCAGTACTGGGGGTGTATTTCATTGTTGGAGGTGCCAACCTTACCAAGCCTGTTCAGGTGAACATCAACAATACTGTGGCACTGTTCAAAAAGAGAAGGGAGTACTCTTTCTTGGGTCTTGGCCAACAATCTGTCAAATAAAATTAATCATTCACTTCATGGCTGTTTGTGGGACATTGCTGGGTGCTAATGGGCTGCCGCATTCACCTATAAACACTTGACTTGAAAGGCTCTATCAAATGTAAGGATTATTTTTAGGATTATTAATATCCCCGACCTAACCATCAAATCTCTCATGCTCTGTGCCTTTCCCTATATTTGCATCCTCCTCCAACTGTATTCTTCCCCATATTCTACCCTCTGCTGCTCCAACTCTGATCTACTGCTCATTTCTCAAAACAACAAAAACAGAATTACATTTATAGAGTGCCTTTCACGTCAGGAGGATGTCCAAAGTGCTGAACAGTCAGGAGTCGGGGCCCAAGCATGGGGGAGAGGTGGTGTAGGGGTGAGGGAAGGCAGAGAGGTGGGAGGGAAACCAAAGGCACAGTCCCTCTGTCCCACCATTTGTGGCCAAGCCACCATCCACTAGGCTCCCACTCTCTGGAGCTCAATAATCATAATCCTTGTATTTGATATAGCGCTTTTCATGTCTTCTAGACGTCTCAAAGCGCTTCACACAATAGACTGCAAGTGAATTGACTGTATATTTGTAGGCATAACGTGGCAGCTAATTGTGCAAAGCAGTGTCCCACAAACAGTCGTGGATTGAAATGATCAATTTGTTATCGATTTTTTTTCGTGAGGGATTATTATCATGCGTGTGGAGTAAGGAAACTTGCCCTGCCTGGGAATCGAACTAGGTCTCTCGCTTGCGCGGCGAGCGCTCTAACCACTGAGCTACAGAACTCCACTCCCTAAATCCCTTCACCTGGTACCTTCTCTTTCTACCCTCTGAAACATATGGCCTTGCTTCTCAATAACCAACCATTTGTATTGAAAAAGCTTACCTGATTTTAGCCTTCTTGCGTCTTGCAATTTCTTCCGTTTTTGACACACACTAGTGGATCCTCCTTCGAGTGGGAGGTAACCCTGCGATTGGAATCCTCTTCCATTTCAGTGCAGATTTCAGCCCTGGATAGGTTGCATTCTTACTGTATGAGCAATTTGTCAGGACACTCCTAGTTCATTACAGTCCTTCAAGTTTGATGTCAACACCTTCAGTACATTCTCACTGATCTTGTTCTTCCTGACATTGTATTCAATAGGCTCTGGGATGCTGTGAAACTGGGTGATATGGGACAAAAGTTGGTCCTCTCGACAATTGTGGCTGACAATCTTCTGGAAAAACTGATTATTCACTTCAAGGCTGCTTGAGGTTCCTTGTTGTGCCCCACCCACCTACAAAGACAAGTCGACCATGATTCCACTTGACTATAATTCTTGATGAAGCAATTTTATTATTCTCTTGAGTTGGCTGATCTCAGCCAGAATGACAATAAGGTGCATTGCAATTAACCCGAGCACCCTTGGGCTAGGGAGGGAATAAGTTTGTTAAGTTAAGATGTTTCCTAGCATGCTCACTTGAAAGATATTCCTGTCATGATCGGTAACCCTTACTGGACAGTGCGTGTGCTCGATGATGTTGGCATCAAGCTATGTTGGGATATCCATGGTCCTGCCAATGGGAATCGGGGGTCGGGCCTTCAGCCTCTCTGCCCCCACCCTCTAGAACTCCATTCCACATTCCCTTTGCTTCACTGCCTCCCTTGCTTCCCTCCTTCAGGACACTTCTCAAAACCCAAGACCATGCCTTCGGCCACCCTCCTACCCTCTCTGCTCTCCACCCTCCCTGATCTCTACTACCCAAATAGAAATAGACAGAGGTCTATTTCTCTTTAAAAGATCCCTATTAATTCCAGCTCCACAGCTTTTGGGGGTAGAGCATTCTACACTTTCACAACCCTCTATATGAAGAAATACTTCCTGACCTTAGTTTTAACTTTCTTGGTTCTTATTTTATTTTAATACAAATTATTTTCACATGTAAAAATGCTGCTTTGTGTTTGCTCATACATAGGAATGTTACTGCTGAGGAATTCCATTTCAGGCACCCAGTGTCAAAATTGAGCACGTCCAGATCAGAGTTGGTATATCTCCTGTATTCAGGAGTCCTGTAGCTCAGTGGTTAGAGCACTCGCTTTGCAAGCGAGACACCTGGGTTCAATTCCAGGCAGAGGGCGAAACTTTGGGCAAGTTTCCTTACTCCACACACCTAATAATAACCCCTACAAAACAAAAAAAATAATAAATTGGTCATTTTCAATCCACGACTGTTTGTGGGACGCTGCTGTCCGCAATTGGCTGCCGCGTTTCGCCCACAAATATACAGTCAATTCACTTTACAGCATATTCTGTAAAGTGCTTTGAGATGTCTAGAAGACGTGAAAAGCACTATATCAAATGCAACGATTATTATTATTATTATTTTAAATCTATGCCCCTTGTAACGGATTGCTTCACTAGAGATCCACTATCAAACCTGTCAATTCCTCATACTCCAAATGAGTACAAATGAATACTATTTGATACAAGTATAACATAGTGACAAGTGAATCTTCATGCAGAGGGGAGTGAGATTGTGGAACTTGCAGCCTGAAGTGGTAGTTGAATCAGACAGTGTAGATGCATTCAAAAGCAAGCTAAACCATCACATGAGAGAGGGGAATAGAAGGGCATGGGAGCCTAGGGAATGAGTAAAGACTTGTTTAGATTTTGAACACTAGCTTGGACTCGTTGGGCTGAGCCGCCGGTTTCCATGCTGTAATTTCTTGGTAAGTCTTTGAAATCACAGCCTAAAGACCTACCTCTTGACCAAGCCTATGGTCACCATGCCTTCTTGCCCTTCTTCCTCCTCTCTTACCCGACATCCAACCACTCATTGTGAAGCATTTGAGCTGCCATTCTATGTGAAGAATATTATAATAAATGCATTTTGGTTTTGTAATCTTATCAACCTGTCCGCTTCCTCCGCTCAGCGGGCTCTGGCCTGCCCTACATCGCCCACCCGGCCCGCACCATCATCTTCGGTCGAGCCTTCAACCTCTCCACATCCCCCCTTTGGAACTCCATCCCATATTCCCTTTGCCTCACTTCCT